TGCATGAGAGATGCAGTGGTCCACTTGGTGATATCGAAACATCCACACTTGTCATGCATTGTGGCTTGATGCGATTTTTGGGTGGGCAAGTACACTTTGTCTCTTTTGCCTCATAGTGAAGTGTAGTGAATTAGTAAAACGAGTCAGTGTTGGAATCAGTGAATGAGGTGAGGGACAAAAAGCAGCGATTCAGCCAAATATAACAATACAACACGAAAGTGAAGGAAGTGAGGAGGGAGGGAATGGGGAGGTAGCGTAGGAGGGACAGGAGAAGCAACAAATGACAAACTGTTCCATTTACATCCCCATCCTCATACCCTAACCCCTTACCAAGTGTCATGTCCACACTTACCCCCTTTCATTCACCTTCTCCTTCTTCGGGGTGATAAATGTCTTTTCGTGGTATCTCACTACCACACTCATGGCATATTGGACAATTGAGAAGTGCCAGTGGGGATGGAGGAAAGCAGTGTTCCTGTTTCCTTGCTTCTTCAGGCAGCAAGTTTCGCAAGAGTGAGAAGGGCTGGAAAAACATGTGCGTGATGCTGCAAACTATGCTGAATTATATCAATGGTCATTTTTAAAAGCTTTTGCGTGTAGATAATTACTTACCGACTAATAAGCGCGCAAATTTATTTTCTTGTCTGCTTTTGACTCATGACTTTCCTTTCTGGGTTTAACAACAATATTTGTTTGCTCAGCATGTTTGTGGGTACAAGAAATCATTCTCAGATACTACTTCTCTTTTATTTTGACAGACCTCTTCCATAAAGCGCAATTTCAGCTCCATCGAGAACATGGACGCTGATTTTCGAATTAAGTAACAGTTTAGTCAACTTTTTGAAAAACTTCCCATAAGCCTTTCCCTAATTACATATGCGCATATTTTGCTTAAGAATCATGTTTTTAACAGTTAATAGCTCTTCCCTGAAGGAAACATGCCTCAAGCACTTTTTAGCCACTTGATAGAAGCTAGTAAATCCTCACCACTTTGTTGTGCACTGGCTTGTTTTGTTTCAACCTACACAAATTACTTTGTGGCGGTAATTAGCTTAATCTAAACATTCAGATCGCAAACTTAAACCGAATTTTACCAACAAGGAGGAGAAGGAGACCTCTTAAAAATCTTTTTTTGCCTTGAGTGGAGGATTTCCCCTCCTCCCTCGCTCGACTGCCCGATGGGGGAAAACTGCAATCTCAAATTATTATCAGACTTGGTGTTATTGGTGAGATTATAAAGCAAAAAAGTTACATGTGTAATAAAATATGACCCTGTCAAGGCCTTTTGATGAGTTTTAGGCAGATCTACCATGCAGTCCCCTTTTCACGGGGTGAGGGGAGGGGAAGGGGGGAGCGGAAATTTTGTTGGTAAGTTTTTTTAAGGTTAAGTTATGTCTTAAGCCATTTTTTACGCTTCTGACACATTTGACACTTAACCCAAAGTTGACACGGCAGCCGAGTTAAGTCGCCTTTGAAAGGAAGGGGAACAACCAGCCATTCCATTTTCCCCACTTTCAGGGTAAGATTTACAAAATACTGCTTTTAAGTACTTTACTTTCCGTTTTCCCTCTATGTGAGAAATTCTTCCCAGATCAACAGATCAGATTGTCAAATGCCCCATAAATTGGGAATTCGTGGCTTGGTAAGGAAAGGGAATGAGTCTTCATCACATCGAAGCTGTCCATAAAGTTGAAAGTGGGATCAAAGGAACCACAGCCACGTGTAAGAAGGTTAACTTGCCAAGTAGGCTGTAAAAAGACTTGGCATACTTTGCTCATTCACAGGTTTGGAAAAACACCATGCACTCTCCAAATACTATCGCAATTCTTTTCCTCACCACCACTTGATGCAAAGCTCAGGGAAGAGTTTATTTCCTTTGACCACCAAGTTGGTTTCTTTTTCATTTGCCAAGTGCAATTTAACACTTCTTGTTCAAATGAGAAGGGGTTGATCCATCAATCATGGTAACTTTAGCCTTTCTACGAGTCGTAACTATCCTGTCTTGAGTACCAGACAATCACATGTTCACAAGTGAAAGTAGAATAGACAGGTGCTCTTTAAAACTGAATAAGAGGAGACAGGGTTGGCCCTACCTAGGTTATTGACTTCTAGAGCAACTCCTTTTCCATAAAAGGGGACATTAAGGTAAATTCATGCCATTGTTAAGGGGAGATTGTTTAAATGAAAGAACTTGTGTGTGAATCTCCTAGTTATTTACTTTTTACTTAGAAATGGCACAAAGCACCCACCAAAATATGTCGGCTTTTTGAAGAAAATACTCAAGTTTTATCATGAAGAATGATGTAGGATACAATATCACGCAAAAAAAAACTAATAATTAAGAGGGGGAATTTTGGACCTTTCAACCTCCTTCTATCATTGGTTGGCTCAGAAGCCAATCAAAATTGGCCATGAGGAGAATTTGGTTTAAACTATCAAATTAGCCGTCATTTCCAATAAAATGGAGACCACAGACCTCCCGTTGAATGTTACAGAAGGTGACGTCTCCCCCTTCTCCTTTGCTGGCTGTGTTGTCATCGTGGCGGTCTTTTCCCTCATCTCCACCCTCACCATGGTGGGAAATGGACTGGTGGTGTGGCTTGTCCTCACCACCAAACGCATGCGTACGGTGACTAATTACTTCTTGGTCAATCTCTCTCTTGGAGATATGCTCTCGGTGTTTCAGATCATACCAAACGTCTACTATGCCATCAATAATGACTGGGTTTTTGAACTAGCCTACTGCAAATTCTCCCAATTCTTCACGGCTTTCGGCATCTCGCTCAGCGTGCTAACCTTCACCGGCTTGACCGCGGATAGGTGAGTTGTGAAAGCCACATTTTTTACGAAAAATATTTAATCAAACCTATAACACTCAAGAGAAATGACATTTTAGCAGCCAATCTTGCCAAGTAGGAAATGTTCTCGATGAACCGAAATCCAATGGTCAATTGGTACCTTAAGGTCGTAAAAAAGATGCGCCAAATTGGAGTGGAACTACGAGTAGACATAGATTGAACTCTTTTAGGCTATAAATTCTCGATTGATTGCGGTAAGGTGAGGACTTGAAGGAGGGGCAATGCATTTTATAAATTTTCACCGGCAATTTTAACTAACAGATCAGACAAGTCAGTTGGAAAAAATTGTTCACTTTTATTTGTGAATATCTTATTGTCCCGCGATGGTTTAGAGAATTTTGCACTTAATTTATCTTCCCCAACCACTGCTTATGGTTCAGAGATTAAAGAGTGCTTTTCGTAACTTAAGTTCTCTACCAAGCAGGAATATTTTTACGCGTGCTTCTCCGTTGAGTCCTCCAGGACGACCAATAAGGTATGGCGGCAAGTTTTAATATGTGCCTACAATCACGGGTGGGGTCAAGGTCATTCCAAGTGATTCGGATGCACGGAAAGGCCGACCGACCTGATAGCTTTATTATTCTATCCAGTGGGCAGGTCTTCATACCACTTCTTATGCACTTGCAACGTGGACATTAGAGACATCGTTTTCCCCTTATTATAGCTCCTAAAAAGTCTTTGATCGGAAATAGTCAGCACAAAATAATTTCTTTTAGCTTAGAATGGCATAAAATGTCTCTAATAGCTTTTAAACTGTTAGGCTTATTTTAAAAAGATCATTGGTACGTATTTTGTAATTGCGACGAATTCGTTTTAATCGTTAAAATAACATATGGAAAACCGAATTTTTCACCTCGCGAGTTTAACTGTTCAAAAAACAGAAATCCGATTTTCATTTTTTCGCGAAATTTTAAATTATTGTTAACTTCATTATTGCGAGGTTCTTTTTCTTGCTTCAAAACCGTATTAAGAAAAGAAATTGGTACCATTTTCCAAAAAGCAATTCAAGCAGTTGCATCTGGGAGATAAGCAGATGAATCAAATTGCAAACTAAGATGTTAAAACTACTCAACCTTGGCAGAGGAGACCATTATCAGAGGAATTTATCGCTTCCAAAAACACTCTAGATTTTAGGTTAACGTAACAAGAAAATAGGTCATTAAAGTGGCAAGCAGAATATTGAGGAAAATTTTGGTGCAAATCTTGACATTTTTGTATTTTAAAGGCAGTTGGCTTATTTTTCTTCCTCATAATTTGCTTGTTATGCATTCGTAGTATGATCCGACTGGATGGCGTATGAAAAACATGCACAATTTCAACTCAGTTAAAACTGCCCTACCGAAATGTGTAACTTTTAGTTGTTGACTAACGAAAGAAAATTGGCATGTTCTGGCAGTGAATAATGCCCTAATTTGTCGTAACATTTTGGGGCAAAGATAGTGTACTCGCAAACTATTTGCGGCAGTCCGAATACGCTTGAATCGCCTTGGCTAGGTAGGCTGTTAGAAGTTCCCGATGATAGTCCTTTTGGTTGGGACAGGAAACCTGAAGCTACAAGCTATTCTTATCCGTTTAAGGAAACATAGGACACAGATGTTTGCTTCCTTTAAGGGCTAACTTTTTAGGGGAATAGGTGACCAATCTCTTCTTTATTCTCAAGGAAATAAATAAAATAAACCTTTATCGAGAGTTCAGACTGGTGAGATGAAGGTAAAGTTGACACAGTTATGCGGCTTATTCGGATGGCAGGAGTGCCATTTTATGTCACTCCACTTCAAGATGTGGTCCAGCCCAGGTGACGCCTCGAGTTATACCTTCAAAATAGTCCCTTGCTGAGAGTACGGCCGTGCATTATTGAGGAGATGTTTGGGAGGATGTCACAAGTCCATTAGACAGTTTACTATGTTTTTATGATAGGCGAGAGAGAGAGAGAGAGAGAGAGAGAGAGAGAGATAAAGTTGCAATTATACAAAAGGTAATTTATTGGTCTCTCTCGGCAGTAGTCCCGGAGTTCCTACAACTTCCACACCTTTTTTAAAACTTTTTTGGTGCTCTGAAAACTGAGGCATTTTGGTTAGCAAGATTCCCCCTCATTAACTTAATTGTAGCTTTTCCAGAGAAGAATACCCTGTCATCAATTTCTCCCTGCCACAGCTAAATTTATACATCTGTATCGAGTAAAAAAATGCTGCCACCTTAAGGAAAAAAGATGAAATTGATTTTAAGCAAAAGTTTTACTATTTTGGTTGGAGAGGTTGTCGCCCTACTCAGTTTACGGGCAATTAAATTCCAGCGCAGGTCAGTGACAGTAATTTGCATTCCTCATGGGCATATTTAACAGCCAACTCAGTGTCCACCAATTGTTTGTACCCCTCCAAATTTTAAATTTATCTTTTTTGCAAAATCTACTTGTTTCCGAAATTATTAGTTCAGGAACTTAAAAGGAAGTGCTTGCAAATGAAGCGTTGAAAGTGAGGGATCTCGTTTAGCTTAAAGAAACATTTTTAGGAAAATGCATAAACCCTAACATAAGGTGTTCTCTTGTAGAGATTTGCTAGCCTTTTTTTTTCTTCCCTCACCTGAAGATATATCGCCATCAAGTACCCATTGCGACCTCGCTCCAGACCTGCAACAATTCTCTGCATTATCGGGTGCATTTGGGTAGTCTCCTTCCTAATCGGCCTACCGGGATTAGTTGCGGCCAAAATAAGTTTAGTTCTTCCCCAAGAATTTGAAAATGGATCGGATAATAGCAATACCAGTTTTACAATTGTTTCCCTGGAGTCTACCAACGCAACAGACGATTTGCGTGTTCGACGAGCTTGTACTTACGACTGGGCTCCCGAATGGGGCATTGCGTAAGTCAATAACAGTTTTAAACCAGTTTACATGATTTTTTCATTTTAAATTTGATTTCTAAATTTGTTTGGCTCTTAGCCAATCACATAATTTTGGTGGTAGCAAATGAGCGAATCCCGTTCAGATCGACTGCAAACTCAGTGACCCAGCAAACTAATTAACCTCGCTATGCAAAGCTGGCCTCTTTTTTATAAATAAGCGTGAAATTATTGTGCCATAAAAAGCTACCTAAATTTTGCAAATAAATGGGTAGCCGATTTAAAATGCTAAGAATGCTTTCGAAGCTGGTGCACTTTTTTAAAAAGCATTATTTTGGTAAAACATTTTGGTGGTTAAAAGGCTCTTTAAGGGCCAGAAAATCGAGCAAAGTATGATATTTTGAAAGCGTTTGACAGTACTTTTTGGAATAGCATTATTTCTTAGTGACTAAGCTCGGGTACGTGACATTTAAGGGGCGAAATCCCAAGCTTTTAAGTGTTAACTAAGTAAAGTAACCGAGCCTGGGACAAAAGTGGAATATAAACAATTTTTGCGCTTATAGTTACGCTTGCTCAATCTCTTTCTTGGTTGTTAAGTTACCGCCGATCGAGAAGTAGAAAAGTCTTTTAATTATTAAATCAAACACAAACACACATATTATATTTAATAAGTGCCTCTTACAGATGTCCTTTGCCAGCCAAAGTTAGTCAGCTTGGCGACTTTTGTTTGAAATAATCAAATGGGAGTGAATAGGTTCGTTTGGGTGAGAGGTGGGCACTGGTAACGTTATCTGCGACTTTTCGACTATTGGCTAAAAGTGCTCAATGGGTCAAATCAGTCACTTAAAAGCAAAAATACAGTTGTTTTTAGCAATTGCATTAGACCATAGAAAGCGTCGATTTTAAGGCCAAAACCGACAAATTTTGTAGAAATAAATCAAGATAGAATAATTCCTAAGTAAAATCGTTTGTGACTATAAACGCGTCAAAAATACTTTAAGGTCAAAACATCCCAACGTAGTTTAAATGATCATGAATCCCAGTTGGAGACATCTTAAACTGATGCTAAGACTAATTGGAAGATAATATGACGATGTTTCTCGCCTGACTGAAGTGACAAGGCAACGTTGTCAATTCATCCCTCCCAAATAAAGCGAACATTGGGAACCTAATGGAGTAGTGCAATTAGGTAGATTTTCCGCCTTTTGATAACAAAATACTCTGACCATCTGGTACGTCGGTAAGCAAGTTCACTGATTTTGACTTGCACCGCGTACAATCAGGCCAAAATTGTGCCAACATAGAGCCGCTTCGAATGACACATTTGACACCATTTTGCGGAACCCCGTAGGTCAAACTCATTTAAGGGCCTTATTCGGGGATGTACACCGTATTAACGTGATTTGCCGGCCAGCTCCTGCAGGCAGTCTGGCCCATGCGCTACATCACCCAAATTGCTGAGAGAATTAATAATTTTGTCCCCAAATGCCTTGATTTAAGTAAAACCTAGTTCAAACCTGACTCAAATCTTAACAAGTAAGTGGAACTTCATAAGTGTAAAGTGTAAAATTGGGCAAAGCTCTGCTCTTTAGTAGTAAGCGAAAAGTGACTCCAAGTTGATCGTAGTCGTTTTCATCGGAGTGGAATGCTCTCGGTGGTGTCGGCAGAGTTTTTCTTTTCAAATTGATATTTCAGATGCATTTAATGGAATCGCAGCACGTCTTACACAAAAGATTCGCTTCATCAGATTGGAAAAATAACAACACTAGTTGGGGCTTGTAGGAAACGCCCTTAAAGATCTATCAGAGGTGGACTAGCCGGAAAAAACAGCCTTATTTTGATGGTAAGCCAGAAGTAAGTCTTAAAACTGCCTAACAATGAAGGGCACTTAAAGTTGACTAGAGTAAGTGGTAAGGCTTCAGTGGTCCATCTATAACCGCGCTTTAACTCCTTCTAAAGGCTCTTAGCCCCCCAAATTTCGTGCATTTTCTAATCAACACCGACATTTTTGAAATCAACTCATTTGCCAAATTTTGTGGCCTTACCGAAATTGCTAATATTTTAAACTACTCGCCTATTTAAAGGGTAATCAGGAAGAAATGAGGTTGAGAGAGCAGTAGGAAGTACGGAGAACGGGCTCTTATCTTAGTACCTTATTGGCACATCGAGGGTTTTGACACAGAAGAGGTGTGTCAGTGTGGCTTCCCTTTAGCTTACCAAATCAGCAGCTGTTCACCACTCCCACGGACAGACCCGAGTTCTGGGTTATTCCACCGATTACTTAATGACTGGGCGCTTCATGACTGCTGCGAGTTGGTAGCGGAACCGCCACGACTGTGTTGGTAGCCGGTGGATGTATGGCCGTCTGTTTTACACCTGATGCCTAAGCGTCTCTAATTTTTCCAAAGCTCATGACTTATGACATGTGGTACGACTACTAGGATTACCCATGGGACGTGTACACAGTGGCAAACCATTTTATGCACTCCAGATTGGATTTGAGTGTCTCTCGGGGGTTCTCTGTTGATTAGCTACAAGGTACTCCCAGGTTGCAGCAAAACGAAGTCATCCAAACACTCAATCAGCGGAAAAGTCATAGACTGGAAATAAGACTCTCGTCTATGCATGAGTTGTCTGCTTTATTACACCCTCTCATATTTTCCCTGCTCCTACTTTTGTTTTTCTTTTTTAGCTACGATGTTGCCCTCTTTATCCTAATGTACATCCTTCCGCTCACCATTCTCTTCGCCACTTACATCCCCATCACGGTGAAGCTGTGGTCGGACAGGGGTCTGGGCGAAGTCACTCGAGCTCAAATTGAAGGCATCAAGTCAAAACGACGAGTACGTGCTCCACTTGGGTTAAATTTTTTTCCCATCTGCCCGATTTGTTCTTAGCTTGCAGTAAATGTCTGCTGGGTTATAAATGAGGCAAAAGTTAGCCCTTACACAAAAACACACCTGTCGGAGGCAACCAACTGTTTCAAAAGTAAGTGAAAAACAAAAAACACCTAAAAGTACAGTAATATGGATTCACCAAGCCTCCCCTGAGACTGCGGTAAGGCGTACCCATGTGAAAGAAGACCTGGTGAAGGGCTATAGGACGAGGGTACGCACTGTGCATCGTTAGTTGCATCTCCGTGTTGCATTTAAGCGTCGCCTTTGATGCTTCCCGTGGATCCCAAGACTTGGCATTAGAGAGGGAAAGTGCTATCTGCTAGTGGTTGTACATGCAGAAGGTTTGGCAGAGATTCCCTATCAGCGGACCCAATGGAAGGATAACAGTATCAAGGAGGGAATTAGTCCAATAGGTCAGATGGCATTCCACGCTTTTCCAAACCCAATACGGCGATGAGAAGATGAGGCAGTTTGTACCGGTCCACTCAAAGTGCCAAAGCAAAAGCCATTAGCCACCTCAACTTGGTCAGTCACTCAGCAAGCAATTTTCAAGGGGCGCCCTTTTAAAAGAATAAAGGAATTCAAAAAAAAACGCAGGAGTCGTCCTTAAAGCCCAGTGACATCCGTTAATGTCCACATGCAAGTAATTCGATCGGTAGCATTCATGGAACGTTTCTTATCTTCATCCTTCAGCGAAGAGGGTCTTCCCGACCGTGACGTCCCAAATCGTGGGAAATTAGTCCCTATCCTTGAGTGACATGCTGTGGCACCACATCTTCGCCAGGTGACTATCAAACAAACGAGTTTGATGCGAAGCTTCTGCGTCCTTCCATTTTAATTAGATCTAGGAGGAGCATTTAATGACATACAAATTCTTTACCACTGAACAGACTTCTGGCCGAAACATAAAATGTTCGCAGCGTATAGTGTTTTTACTCGATCAACGTACGTTTACTAAGGAGATTTCCTAATTACCAGCTTTGAGAATGTTTTTCTCTGTCTTTAAGTTGGCAGAATGCTGTACGTAAAAATCTCGGTTTCCCTTATAATTTAAGGCGTGTGAGAACAAACAGACTCTAAAAGAATTGGGATACGATCTTGCAAGAGTAATTCAATGGCCAACTAGAACCACTACGCAACAGTAAAACCACTTCTGGGGAGAATTGGATGCGGTGCATATACTCGTCAGCATCAATGAATGTATATAAGGTATTCTTAAGGTCGTAGAATATTTTATACTAAAAGGCTTTAGAAATCCATTAGAGTGAGGTTTATTTCTATACCTCATTAAAAGAAAGAGGAAGGATAAAAAATTACTCCTTTTTAGGTAAGTATTATATGGTTGCAAGAAAATGCGCAATAAAAATTGATTTTTATAAAATTAAGCCATGCAAATGCTATTTTAAGTCACGATCCATGGACAACGCTTGACTTTCAGGAGCTAGTCTCGATTATTTTCCAGAAGCAAAATATGCTACGCTGTAGAATTTAAATGCAATTAAAATTTTCGCCAGCAAATTGTAAAAATGTACTTCCCTTCTCGTTAAAAAAACTCGCATTTACTTTTGAAGCCGTAGGACCTCATTTATGTATGTTTAAGTGCGCGTCTGTGTGCCACCAAATTTGATTTATGTAAATGGTCGAATTTGCATTAACACTTAGGTACGACTAAAATAATTTACCCTGATTTTCACAAACACATTGCCACATGAAAAGCGATTCCTACCGCCATTAGAGGTGAATTTATAAATCTGGAAAACAAAACTTGACTTAGCAGGTCAGTGAGTTTAATAATGTCTAGTAACATCCTTATTATTTTTTATGGTCTCCCTATGTTTTGGACTTTTAATTATTTTAGCAGCTTAGTCTCATCAAGGTTCTTTTGGTTATTCGACGATAAGTTTATTGTTATTCAAATCCCCTCTGTATCTATTTGCTAAAAATTTTAGAATGACAATGTAATTAAGATTGAAAAATTTATTTGACCTTATTCACAAATAAATAATGACTTATGGATTTTCATTTAAGCCATTTGTTGTTTAGATTTCACTTCCAATTCATGTTCGGCTCAGTGAGTTTTTTTTCCGCCAGCTGGTTACTGGAATGTTACAGATAATTTTTTTAGATTAGGAAAAAAGTAACAAGTATTACCTCCAGTATTTGATGGCGTAATTATTTTGACTGCACAACGTTGCTGTATTAGCTTTATGCTCCTTCCTACTTGTCAGTGGAAATCGTCCGCCTCTAGGTGCAAGGAACCAAGGTGACACCTAGAGAAAGTTCCCACCATGGGAATGGAATGCGCCACATAAATGTGCCGCTTAATCCGGAAAAATTTTCAGCCCCTGAAAATATTAGGGACAATTACATCTTATTTTGCATTCGTTCGCTCGGAAGCAGCAAGAAATCGGCTAAGTATTTTTTTGCGAAAGACAGGGAAGGAAGTGGTAATGAAGCGGAGTCGGCATAGTTTAGAGTTAATTTTTGGGTGGAATTTGATCACTGTGGCGTTCTTAGAGATGGGACATAAAAAAATATTCTTTTAAAGTTTTAAACCTATTGGAATTGGAGAAAAAGAGCTGTTAAAGACGTAATTGGCGCAAGCAGACCTTCATTCCACTAGTGTGGAGGCCGATTTTACCCTTTTTTAGGGTTGTAAATCATTACTAATCTTCTACAAACAGGAAATCTGTGTCTCGTCAAGAAAATTATCGAATTTAGTGGTAGTTGAGAACTCGTAGCTAATACCACTGCTCAGATCTTGCGTGTGAGAAGATCTCATCAAGCGCTTCATGCATCCTCTTCATTTCCCTCTTATTTATAAGTTTACAGCTCTTTTGTGATTCTAAACAAGGAAAGTGTTTGGGAATTTAAGCAGGGAAGAAAGTAGGGCCGAGAGTTTTTGTTTTTAAAGGCAAAGAACCCTCTTCAGCTAGTGTCTCGAGTGACAGGGATAATAAGGTGTGTTTATACTTTTTTAATTAACAATTTATTTGAAGGGATTTTCTGCTGCTGTGTACCTTTTATTAAAAGTTATTTAAGTATTATGTACAAAGGCCAAATAAAACTGAGTGAAACTTACCGCGCAACTATTAATGTGTGTAAGGAGTTATCCTTTTTGCAATCGGACAGGCTGTTGGCAGGGTGCATAATTTGGAGTTCAAGGTAGAAAAAAACTTTACTTGGTACAAAATTCACGTAGCAGTTATCTATGGATGGGCAGATCGTTCATTTTTTGCCTTTGTCACAGAAACGTCTACCAAATTCTGAAATCTGACATTTACCCGTACATCCTTTTACAGTGGGCGTTAACACGGTCCTGGGCGAATTTGCAGTAGAGTGTCTGTCACTCAAAGGGCCAGTTTTTTTGAAGTTTGCCCTAATGGACCTGCGAAATTCCTTCAGAAAAATTCGCCATCGTTGTCAACGTATGTACATGAAACTGGTAGTGCATCGTTCTAGCGAGAACTCCTCGATTGTTTTCACGTAGACAAAAGTTTAATTAATTCATATGAGAAAATATCTCACCTAAAAACTTCATGAAAAGAAAAGGAAAAGCAGTAACTCGTTTATCTGAAAAGGCTGACTATTTAAGCAATTATTTTGTTTAGTCGAACAAAGCAGTTAACCTTGATCTGTTTTGGTCTACATGGCAAAAGTTTGAGGCAAAACGACTGACAGCTTTTCACTGCAGAATAATCTGATGCATGTACGAATAACACAGCCCTAAAATTGCATATCTCCCACTACGTTTGCTAAAGGAACCTATCCTAATTATACTACTCTTGAAGAAGCCTCTAGAAATTTGTGTTTGAGTTGGTCATTTCCAAAGGGATGCTAATTCACACTGGCGTAGAGGAGTCTGTTACGATTAGTGTAGCAGAGTTATATAACCATGGACTGGGAAGGGAAACTTAACACGGGGACCGAAAACAAGAGGTTTGAAGTGCCGCTGCGGTTAGGCAGTAAATAAAATGAATTTGTAATAGCCGTCTATGTTAAATTTCCTGATTCGTGCGACACGAGTCCTCATCTAATGTTCAACCAACCGCAAAGTAGGGGCGGCAATGGTGCGACTAATTTATCTTAGACATTTTTGATGATAGTACCTTCTGGGATTTTAGTTAAAACTTGTAAATATTTCGTCTTCCAATTACTTGACGGTATTAAAGAAGGATTTAGTTAAAAAGTAGTGCTCGGGATGCATCTTCGGCACCCCACAAAGGGGTTAAGGAATAAAGTCACTGACAGGTTACTAACACTATCACAATCGAGACTCAGAAAGTAGAACAGCAGGCTATATTGGAATGGCCATTTGATTACTAGCATATTTCTGTTATAGATAATAAGAGAAGACACAAAGAGTTGAAAAATCCTTTAGTTTAATTCATTTTTAAGAATAGAATCCTCACGAACCAATTGCCAGTAATTTCTAAATCATTATACACTTAAAGCCAATTTGGCTTCTTTCCATTTGCGTGAACAGCAAGCTTTCATTGAGACCGGAATTGTGAATGAATTGCGTCTTTTAATTCTTACTAAACTAGGTAGTGAAAATGCTGATTGCAGTGATGGTGATATTCGCCATTTGCTGGCTTCCTTACCAACTCTTCTTCCTAACGTTGCACGCCCCAATCGACCATGAACATCCGAGTCTCCCCGTCATTTTCATCTGCTGCTATGGCCTTGCAATGAGCAACAGCATGTACAATCCCATCGTGTACTGCATTATGAATCGGAGGTGGGTTCTACTAGAGCATGTTTAATTAGTCTGCTTCCAGTGTCATAAAAAGTAGCCCAACCTATTTCACAATCTCCAAATTTTTTTCCCTTATATTATAGCCACAATCATTATATTGTATTCAATTCCTTAACCAAACGACATTAAAGTCAGAAAATTGATAATCTTTTCACGTTTTATTTTATTTCCTTTTTATGCAAACAATCAAATTTTTTCTTTGGAATTGTCAAATCTGCAAGCTGCCTATTCACGCGTCGTTTTGAACAGGTGTGCCCATTCACAGTGAACCGTTATCGCCCTCTCTAATTTTGCTTCAACTCTCCTCCTGCTTCTTGTTTTTTGGCCACAAAGCATATCCTTTACTCTTTAAGATTGTTGTTTTTTTGGAAGTACTTAGACTGTTGTGTGGTTAGGACGAGTTTTGTCCACGTTTATTGTTTAACAGACTCCCAAATAGGCCAGTCGTAGCTGTGCACTTTTCACGACTTTGTGCAAGAACTGCGAAATTTGGATTTCACTAGCTCTTAGGTAGTATTTCCTTTACATGGGTTCCTGCAATTATTGTGACCCTTTTGTTTTTCCTACTTATGGCTCATCAAACAAGGTAGGAACTTAATAGGAAGGCTGTCGGTCACTTTTTCGATGTGATTTTTGCTCTACGAGGAGCAAATTGTCTTTGTTGTCTTCGAAGGTTGTTGTGTTTAAGCAAGAAAAGCAACTTGTTTTCTTTTAAGCATTTTTGCAACATGGTGGACATATTCTTCAACTTAGTGACTGTATTAGCAGCTAAATAATAATGCCTACATGTGACGCACTTTTTGTATTTTCTTTATCAAAGATGTTAGCAGAAAAAATATATCACTTCTTGCGACATTTTAGAACGGTTTTTTAATGCAAGCATTGGCTCTATAGAAATTCACAGGAAGAGTAATCAGTTCACAGTGTTTTATGATCTAATGCTGACAACTTTTGGAATCCAATTCCATTCCGTATGCCTACAACAAGTACAAATGGGTCTCGTTGTCTCGATTTTTGTGTCGAAGGAAATGTAGCTCTGTGAGGCAGGAAACCCGATCAGCTCTGTGCCTAGAATGTGCCGTAGATGGAGGTCGTGAGCAATCTGCGCGGTTCTGATCTTACTGATGACTTTAATCGTAAGGTAATTTAGTTTGAGAGATTGGAGTGGCAATAAAGTCGCTTCAAATTACAGGAGAATTAGATGAGTAACGCTTTGAAAGAAGCGCGAAAATATCTCAGAAACAGTAGCTATTAATCTTGTGTCGGCACTTCTTTTACGAAATAGCCTTCTCACTTAAGGGGGCACTAGCCCAAGGTAAATATCGAATTTGTGGCACTTGAAGGGCTCCTGTTTTTTTTTATCGGTTCTGCATTCTTTTTCTCCTAGGTTTCGGGATGGATTTCTCAATGCAATCAGCTGTTGTCCCTTTGTGAAACACTATCGCAGAAAGTGCCAGCGTACACGCTTCCACCGCAATTTCCAAACTCTTATCGTCTCCTCCGATGTCGAGCACGCTCCCCTGCCCGGTCAACTATCACAGAAGTATAACCGAAAAGTGCCACAAAAGCATCAGACTACTAATTCTGCGATGGCATAGACGAAACTTCCTTTCGCACAAAGGCATTCCAGATTTTGGAGTGGAAGAGGTAAAACAAAAGACGATGGGTGACCTCCCCTCTCCCCTTTCTTATTCCCCTTCCAAAACAGATTGCGCCCTTCCTCCCTATCTCTGCGCAACATTCAGAGGGATCTCACCATTTTTCCCTTTTTTTTCAACGTTATATAAGAGTTTCATTTTATTGAGTTGCTTTGATTATTGAGGTGACCCCAATAATAAGCAATCAGGTCAATGGATAGGATCAAATCTTCCACTTCACTACAAACGCCCCAAATAACTGCCAATTTTTAACCAGTGGTTTTTAAAAACATGAGTTTTGCACTTTGTAAGTTGAGAATGAAGGCTACCCACCATAAAGCACATGTTTTGAAGTACAAGATACCATCATAAATTCGCATTTTCAATGGAACATTAAAAACACGAAGAGAATAGTTTTGTCAGTCACGAGATGGGGGTTACACGATTTCGTCACCAAAAATTCTTAACTTTGTAATATTCATGAGTCCTCACGGACCGAAATACAAACTTGCCATCCCTGCTTCAAGCAAGGTCCCCTTGATGCAGTTGTGGATGGGCGATCAGTAAGGGGTTCGCTATGACGCCCCTAGGCAGAGGAGATATGATTGGGCCAGCGCCAGGGGGCTTCAATACCCTCTAAAGAGAACTGACCATCATAGGTAACGTGTTTTAATGTGCTAAGGTACTGACAAATTCAGCTGCTACTCTCAAAAGCTAAATGATATAACCACCTGCAGATCAAGAGCACTCGTAGTTTAAATTAAAGTGGAGAACAAATTGGCGTGAAAGGTCAGCAAAAAAGAGCGCAAGTCACATTTATATGATGCTGAGACCAAGCTTGTTATATGGAAAATATCAGCAGAAAAGGAGACGACAGGAAAATTTAATGACGTGTTGATATTACTGTGCAAAACCTCAACAATAACTGTTTTTCGCAAGGTCAATTACTGAGACAAAAAAAAGATACGGCACGGGAACGGGATAATTGACAGGATTAAGAACTCAAATGTCTCCCAAGTTGACCCCAACAGGAAAGAAATACAGAGTCTAGGGATAGGTCCTAGGAGAGATAAAATTGTCCCAGTCAGCTTTGTCCCGCAACTCCCGTTCAATCAACTTAATGTAGGGGTCAAGGTATGGCACATCCTCCTCTTGTTTAGTCCACTCCTCTTTGGGTAGAATCGTCTTATTAGCAGAGAGCAGAGTAGCTCGGGCTAAACGAAAATCCATGTCCTCGCGTTCCTCTCGCGGAAGACGGCGAAATGCCTCTTCTACGACGGCATTACGCGGCATGATATCATGCCAACGGAGACCAATTTGATTATAGTAGCCAGTGTTGAAGTTGAAGTCCTTAATAGTCTTTTCAAAAGGGGAACGTTGGGCTATCTTCATCTTCCAGGCTTCGGAAGCCTTAGCGACGGCTGAGCGAAGAGTGGTCATTCTCAGAGCAGTGTTAAGAAGACCTGCCCAAAAATTAACTGTATTTAATAATCTTGAAAAAGCAAGCGAAAGCGATACATCGCCGTCAAATAACATCATCGAGCAGGTAGCATTTCAAAACATCATTCTAGGCATGAAATTGTGTATTAGGGAGATTTAAAAAACATCACAATGCAAAGCTACTTCCCAGCATTGAAAGAACCACATTTAAAGGTTGCGTTTGCAAAGAAGAGAATAGAATGCAACAATGTCAGCTTTTCATCAGAATTGAGATATGAGGCGAGACGTTAGTCACGCACAGAACTTAATCAAGTGACCATAAAATGACCCAAGGTCTTAAGCTTCCTTAGTTCCATGCATAATACCCCAGAACAATGAAATAATGCAAACAATGCACTATCATCATGGGAACTGACGAAATCCAATGTACAAGGATAAACTACCTCCGACGCGCGGCTCTACACCAACAGTAAAGCTAACAAACTAATTAAATTGAGCAATTGTCTGCAAGTGATTTGACCGATGTAAATGTTGCAAAAAGGTACATGCACTTTTAGAGGTTACTACGATAACCACCACCTGTAGAACAACAAGAATTTCATAAAATGGATATGCAGGAACAAAACGTCAAGGGGGTTTTCATGCACTTCTCGTGCTTAAATTTGAATGCTTTGCATTTTCAAAGCAAGTATTTTAGCAAAAAAGTTGATTTTGTAACTATTTTTCGTTAACTATAAGACGACTATGTCGTACGAAATTTTTTCCGCACATCGACAAAGGAGTTAATTCAATAGAGCCATGCATAATCTATTTAACACCTTCATTATCCCTACCTTTGCCATTAAATTTTTGAATATGCGCTTTGACTCTGTTGCCAAATGTGTGCCATATAAGTGAATTTTTCCTTGCCTTATCCCCAGACTTTGCTCATTAGCATACACCAAAAGCCTTTTTTGCATATATTGATTCCACTTTGTGTATATTTTTTTTGCAGGCTGACAAGAGTGTGTGATAATAAAATTAATATGCCATTTGACTAGAGGCCCCTCAAGGTCCCCGACTGACGACCAGTGAAGGAAGTGAGTAGCACGCTTTTTTGTGCTCTAGATGGGGGAGCGTCATGTCTGTCAGATACGCGCGACTCCATGCTCCCAGACACTGGAAGAGATGGATTTTGAACGAGGTCCTTGGAATTGTGCGATTTTTGGTGAAACTGACCGCCTCCTTCAGCTGCTCGGACGTGGTGTCGAAGTTGATTCTCGGGACTCTTTTGGATTTACACCGCTGGTATGTTTCATTTTATTTTTTACTTGCTTATCCAAATAGCACTATGCAGCGAAAAATGGAAAATTAGAAATTTGCAAAGTACTCCTAGCCCACGGGGCGAACGTCGCAGCCACAACTCGTTGTGGCAAAGCGACTCCACTTCACCGAGCTGCCTACAGTGGCAACTTAAGTATTGTCCAACTGCTCTGCTCCCATGCCAAACAAAATGGGGATGTGTCACTCGTGGGTATGCTAGACGCTGATGGCCAAACATGCCTGCACGCCGTAAGTGTTATTAAGAATGTTTTATACAATGTCTATTCAGGCAGCACGAGGAAGCTCATCCCCCGTATTCCACTGGCTCTCAAATGAATATCCTGAACTTGTTCCGATCCGTGATAATGCTGGCAAAGCTGCTGGCGAGCTCTTGCCTCAATGAGGGACTTCTATTTTACCAAATATATTTAAGCATTGCATTATCTGTTCAAATTACATGCGCTAGTCTTCTGGCATTTTTTCAGAGCCCAGTTATTTTCACAGCTCTTTGTTGCCTGAAGTGTACAAATCTCTTATTTTTACTCCCGAGTTTTACTCTAATCAATGTATACTCTATCATTTCGATACTTTTTTTAATTTCAGAATAAACAGTCTACTTTCTAAAGCATTGACTCAATTTCAATTTCCCTAGCTGGTTAATGTTCCCGCAGTTTTCTCACTAACGCATAGCCGTATCTCATTATCTCACTTTACCACCGCCTCGTTGGCACTCAGTACAACCCACGGCGGGGCATGTCTTAACAATTTTCCGGAGGCTTCTAGTCTCGCGGAGATGTCAGATCTCAGTCTCTCCTGATTGGGGTAATAAGCACTCGAATTCCAGAACCACTCAGTTGCCATAGCTACGATCGAGTGGCTCAGATCCTGCGCATGCCATACTCACTGCTACCTGCTTATCTGCGTGGGAAGTAGACCTCTGTTCCAAGGCCGTGGACTCTTAATTGTCTGGTTGGCAGCTCGGCGGGATCCAGACCACTTAAATCAACTCTGGTTTATAACAAGTTGCCAGGGTAGGTTCTTCAAACCTCGCATCGACATACCGTTTGCATAGACTGCCAGAATCTTTAAGTCAGAAAAGTCAATCCCAAGCTTTGCTAGCTACTAAATTCGAAAATTCATATGCAATTAGCTGATGTGTGAGGAAGCTGCACTTCCTATCAAGGCCAGGCAGTGACCCTTGCGATTACCGCAACCTCGCACCAGCACGGTAGTCTGTACTACTCATGGAACAGCGCATTTTACTTTTAAACTTGTTCACACTTCGTGCTTAACACTCTCCTAAGCTTAGAGCATATGCTGTACTTTATGTGTTCATTTCTCTACACCTAAATGCGCATAACTTTGTGAGGGACAATCATAAGGCAAAACGATCCTCAATGTGTCTAATGTCGAGGTTAGACTGCTTGAGTCGGGAATCTAAAGACACGTACACCTCGGACGCTAATGCCACGAGATCACGGTAGAAGAGACTACCTGCTACGTAGGAAGGTCACTTCATCGCTTGGAAGCACACAAAGTGGGGTCCCATGAAAAATACATACCAGGCGCCAAAGACTACCCTCAATTAGTGAAGTTGAGTAATTATAAATTGAATAACGTTTTTATCAGAAGCGAGCAAACTCGGGTCGTGACCAGCTACTGGGAAAATATGCCGACAAAAAAGTAGCAGACCTCAATCTCACTATAATAAAGAGGAGAGATTGATCCTAGTCTTCCCCAGCAAGGGCTTCATATACAACGAAAGCAGTAAAAATTTTCCTTACGAAACGATTTTAAACAAAACAAGAGGACGAGGTGTGCGAATACCAAGTTTGTTTAATACTGTAAGTGAATGAAAATGACCAATCTCAGCGTTTGTGGGGTGAGAATCAGTTCAAAACCATAAAAAGGGTAAGAGCAAACGGGATATGGACACAAGGAATCTGCTGGAAGCCTCGAAACATGGAGAAACAATATCAGCCGAAATACCAAACCAGTGAGCGCAAGGGTTTTTTCCGTTTGCATCTCAAATGGCCAGCCCAAACACCGTCACAATGAAATACATCGACTTATTTTCCCATTTTACTGTACAACTACCTAACAAGAGGAAAGGGAAAGTAGAAGTGACAACGTTTACCAGCGTAAACTAGATAATGTAATAAGCAGAGAAAGTTCTAAAATGAAATCTTTAGCTACCATAAATCAATGATTTAGTAAAATGAACGTTATGGATATTTTGGGTTTGGGCCAACTAGACGAGAAATTGCATTAAAACACATGCTATAAAGGTAATAAAGAAACCAGAGCACTATACCATAGATGACAGGGTTTAAAAGCACAGCTTTAAGAGACAAAAATGCGAATTAGAATGTAAGAGTCAAACAAGCATACCATCAGTAGAATTATCCCAATAGCAGGAGCTAGCTGTATGTAACCCAGCGCCACATTTCTGCATTATGACACAGGTTACTAAAGGCGTAAGCAAATAGGAATAAACCATACCTATGTATTTGAAAGGCTTCCCTAGTTTCGTCAATTGATTGAGAATTTGTTCGACGATTGTCGATGTCCATTGTGGCACTTTAGTGTGAACATATGAACTGGAGCCAATGTTGTTTTCTATACTCTGCAAATTTTAGGGGTTAACATGCGCAATGTGACAGACCTCCTTCACAATATTTGTTACTTCATCAACAACAAATGTTGTCTAAAGGGAAGTGAAGTAATTTTAGCTAAGATACCTCCTCAGTAGCATCATTATCCATTGTTTACCAAAAGCGTTACTAGCTTCTACAAATCAAAGAAGGTGGCTCCAAGTAGGGAAGCTAAAACTACGAGATAGATGCTATGGCATAATGCTGATACGCGAAGATTTATTTCAGTCAACTCTATTTTTATGCGCTTACCCATTAACTTGTTCTAGTTTTCAATAATTGGTTTGAAAATTACTGCAGCCAGGTCTTTTGGAGTGTATCTCCGAGGATGATTTGTAAATCACTTAATTAAAATCAATCTGGACGCCGCTCTTAAGGAATTCCAGAATACTAACTGTACTTTTGCCCAAAGCAAATTTTGAAGTCACCAAAACTAATAACTGTTTGATGTTATAATTACACAAATGGATGAATCAACCAACAAGCAACGATGCAATAGTCTGTTTTAAGAAAAGTACATGGAAAAACAATGAAACATACTGCCACTTATGTTAAATTATAAACAGGTAATAGCTAATTAAGTTATTAGGGTGCCTGAACGTCTCATGATTCGGTGCCGTTAATTCTGGGTATCCAGGGCTTACTGTTGTGTTAAAATATTGTATCAATTTTTGCTCAACTTTAATAGCCATTTATAAAACGGATTCATTGCCAAATCAAATAAAACTAAATTATTCAAATAAGTGAAGCATTTGTCATATAAAAGCATAATATACAGTATATTACATAGCTGAAAATACTTAATATTATACTTTAGTTTGTTTTGAACGGCACAAGAACTCTCAAGTAATTGTAGTTTGCCCGTTACCACGGATTTTTGGCCATGTCTGTAGCCTTCCACTCCTTCTGTTCGTTCGTAGTATACTGCATTATTATGCGCCCTTGCGACCGCATGGGAAAAACACCATGTTGCCCGTTGGCAGCGTGAAGTAAAAGCAATCAAAAATGACATCCATTCTAATTTCTGATTTTGTTTGATAACCTTTAATTTCAAATAAAAGGTGGGCGTTGGGAACTGCAGAATCTGAGATGACCCCTGTAGCTACATTTAATTTGCAAGAAAATCCTACTCTGCTTTTTCTATTTGGACGTGACAAACTTAGCACCTAATGGAAATGCAAATCCTTTTCTATGAAATTCTGCAAATTGTCAAGTTTGATGACTCATAAAATGCACCAAAACTGTTGTTGTTTAAACTTGCAGAAATACAGGGATTTTAAGTTAAATTAATCATAAGTTTCAGTATTTGTGGTTACTGTGGATCATTTCTCATCCACACACCCACACCTTGGTTTCCTCGAAGTCATGTCTTGTACCTACAAAATCTGTACTTTCGTAGTTTGTAGTTTTGCAGTTTGTTCGGCAGTATTTTGATAGAATTGGTTGGTTCGGAGTGCCTTTTTACCTAAAGGGGTTAAAAGCCTCAAAGGCAATTAAAAACACTACTTCGTTTTATAATACTTTAAAAAAGCCTATTATATAATCCAACTTCGCTTAGAAACGCCGGATCTGCTGCTGCTTCTTTTCTAAATTAACGCCAGACGTCCAGTGCAAGCGCATCTTCTTTGATGACATAAAGAAACTTTAAGGCAAACTTACCCATTAATAGAAATATTTAAAGGATAAAGCTAATCTGATAATTTGCCTAAAACATACAAACAAATTCAAAATGTTCATGTTAGTAATTAACTACTAAGCATACAGTCATATCATTAAAAAAAGTCTTAAGGGAAAAGGATTGTTGAGTGATTAACTCATAGTATTACCAAAATGCGGTGAAAGAGGGGGGGGGGGGGAGGGGAAAGCCAACTTTGAAGTGGTCTTAACAGTTCTGAAATAAATGCGGATTTATATAACAGATTTAGGTAAAAAAATCAACTCACCCTTCTTTCACTTTCATCCATAAAGCGTCTCTCTGAGCCTCTTTTCGACGACTTATGAATGACCTCAAAGCTGACCTCATCCCCTCTGTAATCGTTCCTGCCATACATGGCTGCGTGTGGCTGGGTGCCAGGTAAAATGGGAAGTCCACATTTTGCTTCAAGAAAGTGAAATAGATAAAATCGCCATTGGTGGCTTATGCAGTGAGCCAATAAACTCAAAGGTGTGCAACTGCTAAAAGTGTGGGAAAATGCTAAAAAATGCGCCCAAACTCATTAAAATTGCAATTAGATTTTGCTCTGATGTCTCCCTATTAGCATAAATATGCGGATTTAGCCTATTGGAGCCCAGCCTGTCAATTTTGGGCTGTGATGGATGGTGAGACTTCTCTTAATTGTCAGTTGACTGCTTTTCTTATGGCAAAATTGGCAATAAAGGACTGAAAATTGGTGCACTTGCCTCGTTTATTTATCAATTAATTTAATTTAGTTAAATGTGGGGGAACAGAATATATTACTTAAGTTTGTTTGAAAAGCTGCACTTCTATACTGAAGGGTTACTCATTTGCATCGAATTAGAAGAATGAACAATAAGGAGAGTTTGAGGCAGGTATAGGAAGTCACGGAAGTAAGGGTTTAAGTAACCGCATCATTTAAAATAGCCTTGAACTGTGATTTAACACAATTCTTGCCCTCCTCTGACTTTGATAGCTGTTTCCAAAATTCTATATGGCTGTATTTTAACTTTGACTGTTTTACATTAGCTTGTACCTGCCTTATCCCCATAAATAGATAATATAGATGCGGTTATAATACTGTAGCGTCCCGAGACTCTCTTAAGACAAAAGAAGTCACAATACCCGGCAGAATATATATATTCAGCACGGAGAAGGTGTCTGGGCTATTGGCATGGCCCAAAAGGCCAGCCTACCCAGGGAGGTACAAGGGGGCTAATTTTAAGTACAAAAGTGGCGCATCACCAGAACCGAGGGATAAACCACTATCGTATTACAATACTTTAATTTCACGTGCTTTGCAGGCAGGACTTACTTTGGGTGTTATTGCCTGCTTTAGTCACTTTCAGTGGTATTATTAGCTTAAAATTAACTTAAAGGCAGAAAAGTTAGCTTTTTATCATGAACATAAGCCCGGTTTTCTGTGGCAAAATATTAATTTCAAGTGTTGACCTTGTTTGCTGAAATTAGCAACTCGCATTTGGTCATTTCACCTTTCTTATGTGTACATTCTCTTCATGGAGGCGTTTTATTAGCAAATGGGGTCGGTAGTTTTAAAAAATACACGAGTTTAACTTCGCTGCTATTTACTCCTTTCCTTAGCCAATAAACGAAGTGCGCTGAGTGTTTGCATTCCTGCACGTTATCGTATCAGGTATGCCACCTACTTTATTCTCGTGCAGGCTTACAAATTTATTAGCTGTCAGTTTGTTAGTTAGTATTAAGGAAGTTATCTTGCTTACTAGATTTTTTACCAATTGACATTTTCTTTGCTTTTTCCATATTTTACTTGTAGCGTTTTATAATTTCTGTCTGCAAATTTGTTACCACTTCACTTACTTATTCTGTTTTTTTTTCAGAGATGAATGAAGTTCAGTGGTCTCTAAGTCTTAATCTGAACCCAATTCAGCTCTTTGACCCTCGAGGTGCTTTTGACACCTACATAAAACCACTCATGAATAAGTATGTACCCGACTTAAAGGGCATACTCGTTCGTGTAAATAAGCAGTCGTTGGAGCTGCATCCCTCACCAGATTTGGCAACGTGTCACGACACCAACTCTCATTGCATCATTCGCTTTCATCCTGAATACCCTTTTGCTAAAGTAAGCAATCACTGAAACCATTCTTAACTCCGTTACACTCTTCCTTACAGCTGTCACTTTTTACAGCTTTTTTGACGTAATTCTGGACGAAGACTCCATTGCTTTATTCACCTATTTAGTTTTCTTTTTGTTGTGTTGACCGGAAAAATATTATTTTTTCAGCAAAGTTATGCATTACTAAGTCACGTTATTATCATATTTTCGCTTTCCTATCAGGTCTATCGTCCTCCTTTCGTTAGCTCAGTAGCTTTTGAGGAAACTACGAAGGTATCTTATATGGCTTTAAAATTTAAAGTTGATTCTACGTATAGAAGATTTGGTCGTCAAGTTGTACCTTCATGTAGACGACTTTCCTCACGCTGCAAATCCGTTATCACGACTCTGCGTAAGGATGTACACACCACTAGCCTTCATTTTTTTAACTTTCTCCTTCGCTTTTCTGTTCTTGTGGGTCAGTTCAAATTCGCTCTAGACGTCATTTGCAAGCAATTTAATTCACCCATATGATTCGTGTGAGTGGTATTCTTTACTTCCTCAGTAAGAGCTTTTGGTAATCTGCTTTTTCTTTGATCCATTTCCCGTAGGGTTGAATGAACTGAAGAGCCATATTATATGAGACCTTTCTAATTACCGTGTTATGCGAACGACCCTGAACACAAATGGAGGAATGCCATTTAGTGGGGTCGTCATTGAATAACAAGATCGGTTTTTCGGCGTCTGATGCAATAATATTTGATCTGATATTTATCGAAAGGAGTACCGACAATGATTTTAGTTTTTTTGTAAATATCCTTTCTTCAGGTGAATTTCTCGGTGAATACCACGATCTTCTGCGCCAGCGTTGGTCTCCATGTGGACGCCACCGTCACTGCTGTTAAACACCAACGTATAGTCTGCCGCTATGGTGACACCTTTTGTATCTACATCATCGTTCCACTACAAGGCCAGGACGCGGAACCTCTTCCAAATGATCCAGAAAGTAGTAACCCCATCTCTGTTTTTCCTCGTGACCTCGTACAACTGGAAATATCGCGAGTCACCTACTCACCTGCTGGCGATAGTCTAACCCTCTCGGGTCGCATTTTGTCCGTCTTAAAGCGAGGAAATTTGGCCAAGAAGGTTCTGGGTCTTGGTTTTGACAACCTAGAAGGAGAGGGGGCGACGGTTTCTGAGGTTGAGCCGGAAAAGTCAAAGAAGAGGAGTTTTAGTCAGTTGGAAAGTCAGGGCGAAGTGACGCCTGCCAAGAAGGAAAAGAGGTCGAAGAGGTCCAAGAAACATCACGAGGAGGAGAACGATGAAGAGATTGATCAGCTTGATGAAGAAGAACAGCTTTATGAGGTGACCCAACCCGTGAAACCAGACCATACAGCACCTTCTGAGAAGTCAGTGAAGAAGGGAAAATCCAAGAAGCATGCCGTTGTGGAGGATGAGGTTCAGCAAGATATGATGACTGGAGTAGTCCTGGAACAGCCTCAGGAGACACCTGATCTATTAAGTCCCGACCCAACAACAACTGTCCCAAAGAAAAAGAAGTCTAAAAAGCATTCTATTGCTGAAGAAGAAACGTTTTCACAGGAGATGGAAGCGGACGCGGTCTCTGATCCAGTTCAGGAGAATCATGGTGTGGTAAAGCCTGATCCACTGACTGTCTCGGGGGAAAGAAGTTCAAAGAAGTCTTCGCTTACTGAAAACAATGAAGTGGGGGAACGTGTTTCTTTGAAGCCGGATCCGGATTCTGCCTTTGTGGAAGCACTGAATACGAGAAGGACTTCCAAGAAGAGTAAACATCAGGAGGCTACTCCGACGTCGGAAGCAGAAGAAGTTGAGGAGGAGACGGCTACACCAGTTCAGGGGCGGCACCCAGCGATGTCTGTGCCTCTGAAATTGGACCCAACAGAATCACATCGATTGAATCGGCACCTGGCTCGTGCGTCGGATCAGAGCCCGGACATTTCCACATCCTCGGAAGAGGAGGAATCGGATGCGGACGCGAAGACGACTGTGGTGACACGGAGTTGACTTAATCAGGACGAACTGTGATTGTAAATAATGCCAATTTTGGTGTTAATCAAGAGAGTCATTTTGCCCATCGGGGACAAAGTGAAGTTATGAGGGAGGGATGAGGTGGAATGAGGCGAGTTTTTCGCCTGAGTGTTGATAAATAATGGACTGGGGTAGTACTTTGTATTGCCGCGAAGCACCGATGTCGTTTTTAATTTTTCTGTAACTACTAATATAGTGAGAATAGTCTGGATGTGTGAATCTTGGGGTCCCAGCAGATTGCCTCTCAATGTGACATTATTGTAGTTTGTACTTTCCGCGGTATGGCCCCTGGGCTACACTACCATTCTCCCGATATGTGGTCCCACACCCTACTTATTTCGATTTCAGTGGCGAGTCGGGATGCTACGAGGTGAGAAGGGATTTCTGCTGGGGGGCTTTGACTCAAGCCGAAAAATTGACTTTATTCTTGATAACTAGCGGGATTTTTCTTCTATCTAAAATAGCTGCAGTTCCTTGTCCGTTGTCTGCTTCGTTTCCGATTCGGGCTATTCGGTGATTTTATACCCCTACATCGAAGCTGAAGGGCGTGCTTATCGGTGCAACAGGAGGGGAACACAGAGCTGAGGTTACCGCTTTCATCACATCTAGCTTTTGTCGTCACCCTTGTGGGTGTAGCATAGCTAGGCGCAGTGGACAGGGGCAACACGCTGACCGCACTTTTGGTCGACAAGGCGGCTGAGAAACGCGGAATCCACTGGGAATTGTTGGGTATCCGCAAAATCCGACGCCACCACAATGCTGGATGCCTTATTCTAACCACTTGCTGAGTTCTGATCTGTCAACTTCAGACATCACATCAAACCAGAGTCCCCACCCCGCCTAAATCCATACATAAGAGAAAAGTACCTCAGGGGGCACTATTACAAGTGTGAGGAAGGCAGCAGTTGGCCAGTCGCCTTGCCGCTCCAATGTGCGTTCAGTGTGTTGCCGCTGACCCCCGCAACAGCTGTCCACGACGACGAAGACATGAACTAGGCATGACATCAGTGGTGCCTTCACCTTTGTGTTCCCCCCACCATCCCTACCTCTTCTTTTCATTCTCATCTTCACCTTGTCGTTTGCATAACTCTTCCCGCCGTCCATACAGTGACTTTAGTCCCTCCTTCCACTCGCATTCCCCGTTGTTGTTGCAGTTATCCTGCTCCCCCTCCTACTTTCATCTACCCACCTTCCAGTGCGATCCCACACGACTCCACCCATTTGAGTTCACTGCCTTTTACTGGAGGATGGCCTCTCCCCTCAGAGCCCATCCTATTTACAGGTTGGCCCCCGATAATCGAACGACATATCTTGCTAATGTCAGTCAGTCGCTTTTTTGTCATTTTCAGGTATTCAGACACGGTCCTTCTCGTAATGAGATTATCCTGAGAGGAGGAATAGTGTGGAACTTCATTTATCCGAAGCAGGTTTCTTGAGTCATCTACAATCTCCTGCCTTGGTAATTTGGTCGTCCGTATTTACACCACACCGTACTTTCAATGACTGAGTTGTCTTCTCACGATCAACGGGGAATGAGTAAGGAGGATTGTCCCGTTTAAGCCATTGGAAAATATCCAAACAATAATGGCATCCAAAGGAGTAGGGGCACCCTTATTCCTCCCCCACATTGCATTATCGGAGTGACACCTATTTGTTGATCACGATCCCAGTGGTCAACTTCCTCCAGTAGATGCAAATTTGTGAGGTCTCGGTCATGACTTTTCACTTTCACAGCCCTTATTTACGGTGCCTCTATTGTCAATGTTGGGGTTGAGATACAGAATAACACTGCACTTTTGCTCTGCAATCAGGTGTAGCACTGATACGAATGTGGCATTGTACCTTGAATCGTAAAAAAGCACCGGCGTCCATTAATTGGGCAGCCTGGGAGATGGCAGACGCTGAGAACGTCAAACTATGACATCGCGGAGGAATAGATGTGAAGAGAAAAATGAGGGGGGCATTGGGACAACTTGAGCCTAGTCACTGCCTGTCATCCACATTTTTGCTGCAGATTGCTACGGAACTCAAATATAAGCAACCTGGCGATAGCGGATGCGTTCCAATGAGGACATAAGTGGTGGCTATCCACCTCCACATAAAAAAGTTACTGAAAACACCCCCGAAGCCGTCGATATACCTAACACTGCACCCCTACAGACAATCAAGTAGTATTATTGCGCTTTAAATTAGTAGCGAGGCCCCACTCCAAGGCCCACTTTCGTCAAAAAAGACCAAAACCTAACGACAGAAAGCGAAATCCAATGGTTTCAAGTCGTGCAGACGTGTAGTTACTTAATTGGCCTTCACGGATTTGCTTCTACGGTTTCGAACAGGTCGATCAACATCACCATCCGTGGGGATACGTCGAATCTTCCCCTCTTTCTTATTGTCATCGTTCTCCTCATCAGTGGGATACGGCCTTTTGCCCTTCTTAATTTCTGATCCAGACAGCGATGTTGCAGTGTTTTCACCCTGCAAATTAAAAAAAAGAGTAGAAAAGAAATCACATTGACATCCTCCTTAGGGAAAAACGAGGTATTCAATGAATAGTCGTACCTGTTCTGCATTTGTATCCATGACTTGGTTCTTAACCCTTTTTCCAGCCTTCCTACGAATACAGTAGTTGACAATAAGGGGAACACCATGGAGCAAGGTACCATGCCTCGTGTTGAAGGCTTCCAGTGCATCCTTCTCTGCAATATAATCAACTCGCGCACACCTAAATGCGTATAATTTGGACAGAAATGGGGAACTAACCCTTGTGCTTTGCCCGGACCAGAATTCGGAAACTCGATGCTGTTTGCACCGGGAAAGAGACGTTCGACCTCATCCTCGGTCGCGTCTCGAGGAACACAGGATACATTTAATCTATTTAACTGGAAATCGCTCAGTTGAAACGCCTGCGGATCAATAAAGGGGCCATTGAGAGCTTTCTCTGATACCAGCTCACATTTCGGGGCTCGTCCCAAGAATTTCAGTTGCGAACTTTCCTGTAAGGCCTTTCTAGCATGATGGGCGGAGGGGAATTCGAGGAAGGCATATCTGTGGAGAAAAACTGATGCGTAAGACAGGACTAAGTTCGTGATGTGTGAGATGAAACCGAGGATATAACAAAGTCCCAAACTAAGACAGCGCTGCAGACGCAAATGAAAGCTCACTTTCTATTGCCCTTAAATTTCTTTTTTGGAAATCGACCATTAATCGGGGTCTTGAAAGCTCTAATAAGCACTTTTAGCTGTAGCGACCAGGGCAAATGACTGACCAGAAGAGTACGGTCGTTGAGTTCAGCTGTAATGAAAATAAATTATGTGAAACTGCTCGACAGCAGTACCGCATAAGACTGAACCTACTCAATCGATTGCGTACCAACTGTACTAAATCATTCGAAGCAGGAGCTGACGACGCCATTTCCTACGAGGGGTAAAAAACTTCAGTTAACCAAAATTTTCATCCCCAGACTGGAAAACCACTCAACCAGTTCCATTTGGATGACTGGGGGATACCAATAAAGTTATTACAAAGGTTGACAACCTAATAGAACAAAAGAATGCAAGATTCACCAACTTACACACAGAATGCACTACAAAGGGAGCATAAAACTCATGTGAACCAGCGACTGGAATTGACCGCGCGGGGAGTTAGCCAGACTTAGGCTCCGGAAAAAAACCAAAGCTCTAAAATACAAGAATAACCATAAATTTAGTCAATTACTAGTGAGCTGTAAATATTCATTTGGTTTTCGTTTTACTTTACACTTGTGTTTGAAAAAAGCTGCCTTTTTTAAAGATGACGCATTTTTTGATAAAAGCATTTAAAAAATTTCACCTTTTTTGAAAAAGCATGTTTTTTAACATCCTCAATTGCCATCGGTTGCATGCTTGACTAAAATACACAACTCTTTTAAGCAGCAATGCTATTTTTTCCTTTTTTGCTTTATGTAAATTTTACTGGTTGCATGAGCCAAATTTTGCAACTCTGTAGTACACCCTAGTTACTTGTGTCTGTTACGTCTTTCTTAGTTTTCGTATCTGTAGCGCAGTGACTAGCGGCAAAGGAATTTTTGTCCTGAACAAATATTACATTTTGGCTGTGACCTCATCTGGAAAACCAATCAAGATAAGGGGGATTGACCCGCCTACTGCGAATTTGTCGCAAGTTTGCGGTGAATCACTTTGAGTTTATCGCCGGTTTGCGTTGCAAATAACTTTGCTTGAGGAGCTTTCGAATTGGTTCGTTATGTCGGCAGAGGACGACATTTTTGCAGAGGGCATTTGTTCTGCTACAATGGGTCAGAATCATATTCCTTCTAAATTCTCTTCGATCAACCGTTCTTTGAAAATCATGGATATAAAGGGTGCCGTTGATCAAAGTTGTCTGGTGTTTTTTTCGCCTGGACATCAATCAAGGACATCTTGGCATATCGCAAACACGGCTAGTTCTCGTACCAAGGCCCTGGCTTCGGAGTTATCTGCGGATGCGGTTTTTCGGGACAATCTCGTGAAAGAATTGAGAGAAATATTTTCAACTTCCCAGTTGGAATTTGACTGCAATATTTTGTTGTCGCCATTGCTTACAAAGGATTCATCTATCAGTGATGAATTGGATGACTTGATAAACGAAGAAGACCAATCCGATGTTCTGATGTTATTCGGATCACCTGCCTCGGCATTTCAACTTTTTCTTTCTGTTCCTTGTCTTCAGCCAGCATTGCTTGATCTTCTTTTGGAGGTTGTTTTAAGTGGGTCCAACTACTCTCTTCAGCTTATTTCACAGCTGCTGCGGCCTGTCGGAATCAGTACATTCTTCACAACATTTACCAGTCTTGAAGAAGTCGTTGGCAGACTCATTGAGCTAATCAAGTCCGTGGATGGACAAACAACAAAAACTCATATTTTGCAAGTTTTGCCTGAGCTATTAGCGTCACCCGTTGAAAATCCTCAAACGGACTTGAATTCAGAAGTTGTTTCGAATACCATCCAAAAGATTATCGAACTTCTGGACTACGCAATTTTTTCGAGAAGCGAGGACCAGGCGAATCACACCTTAGTTACAGAAATCATAGAATGTGCTAATCACTTTCCTTTGGAGGGGTTCTCTCTGAATCGCTTAAAAGACGCCTGTAAGGACGTAATCATTCGCTCGGCTGGAAAACTGTCTAATCGGAAGTGCATCGCAGATGTCATTCGCAGTTTATTTGCGAGTGAGTTGAAAAAATGCTTCTCCTTGGAGGAGATTTGTGAGTTCGTTTCGCTTTTGCGCAGTAAAATGCGACTCTCAGAAATAACGATCAAGTCGGATCAAGAAATTTTATTGTTTCTTGATACACTCTCTCTTGTTTTTCGGTCCAACAGTCAGCTAAAACTTGAGTAAGTTGAACGTTACTTCCTCTAAACTCCCGTACTTATGTTAGGTGGCTTTCTTACCTTCATCGTGGCTACTCTAATGGTGGTGTGGACTGTGGCCTATTAATTGACGATCTTCTCATTCTCCTATTGGTTTACGATTCTGAGATGGCTTTGGGGGGTAAATTTGGCAGTGCCACCCTCAATAAACGGAAAGAATACTCCCTTATCCTCAAGACGTTTAATTTTGTTGCTGAAAGAATCACTAATCGTGAGATTCATGAATCCTTCTCTAAATACTCTGCGATATTCCAACACAAGCAGCTCTGCGGCCCACTGTTGACACTTACGAACCACTTAATGAAGACGTGTCAATCCCCTGTGGCCCCGAGATTCGCTTACCTTGTGTATTCCTCTATTTTTCAGTCCTCGTTACCCGGAACAGAGCAGCCGAAACGGGTTATAACGGACCTTTGTAAAAACATTTACTCTTCGCTTACAAGTGTTAGCATATTTGAGAAGAAACGGATGGTTAGAAACAGTAAACTAACCATCAATCTTCTACTTCAATTATCCACTATGTTTGCTGAAAAGATGTCGCCCTTTTATGACCAGTTACTTGGCCTCCTCGAGGAGGTCTCAAAGCGGGCTGAAGAATCACCTCCTGACCTCATCGATATCCGGAAGCTCTTCGCGATACCCGCAAAAATTGCCTTCGGGTACGGAGTGCGAGTTTTTAATAATGGTTTGTTATCTTTTCTCTAGGGGAACAGGGGAGACGTATCTGCAAGACGACTTACTCATTAGTATTCGTCGACTTCTGTTGAATTGTTCGAGTAAACTGAGGGCTATTGGATTGATTGGTGCTGTGACTGTCCTTGAGATGCTCTGTAAGCGACTGAGAAGGTCGAAATCCCTTGGTCCTGTGAACAGCACGCCGTGTTCACAAGCCGAGGTTATGGAGGTGGGTTGAGACTTGGCGGCTTTTCCCATTCTGAGTCGATATTTTTACTGAGGTCAAATTTGAATATTCTTATATCTTGTTATAAATTGTCCCCTTTTTGTCATTCTTTTGGCATTACGGTACTAATGTGGGGGGGGGGGGGAATCGCAGTTTTTTGAAACTGCCGATGCAGCGAAAGTGCCTTTCTTAGTCCCACACCTAGGAGTCAAAAGAAGACATCCTACTTACATTTGTAATTTATTGTGACCCAATTAATCGTCTCCCTTCAGTGCTCTCAAAGCAGCGTTCTCGCCAGCCAAGTCGCGATACCTTTGGCCTCCCAGACTACTGCTTCACAGAACACCACCTCCCGCTCCAGTCACAGTCACCTTAGCCTCAAGGGTCCAGGCACGAGTCTGGCCGACGATTCTGAGGAGGTCAATCTACCCGCAGATTCAGTAGACCTGGACAGTGACCCCAAGAGTGCCTCCAGTTATCTGGCCTTCCTTCCCCAACCTTCGCGTCTCATGCTTCAACTTGTGGGATTGGTTGAGAATGCTCTGAGACGCAGTTCTCTACTCTTTTCTCAGCTAAAGGTCTTCTGGTATGACGAACTTGCAACGATGTTCGCTAGACTAGAGGCGGGATGCCAACGTCCTTTGTTATCTCCTGAGAGTGAAATGAAGCGTTTCATTGACTGGATGGGGAGTCGTGTAATGCGGGAGTTTCAAGTGTGTTTGCTTGTTTAAAAGCCGTGCTATTGAAACGATTTAAGTAGGTGCCAACTTCTCATAGATCACAATTAATGGATTTGAAATTTTCTTTTCGAAAACAGGTCGCCTAACCTTTCCTCTTTGCGTAAAATCGATTTCATGTGCAGGTTGTATGAGAAGCTCCTATACATTTGGAGTTTTAAAACAGCAGAGAGGTAGTAGACAAAATAAAGCATTTGCCGATGGACTAACTGACTTCAACCCAGTTTTGCTCTATGGGGCATGGACCTAAATAACCTTATGCACTAAATAAGTCCTCAAAAGCTCCAACGCCATGTTATAGGGAGCTATTCTAAAAGCCAGACAAACTTTTTTTGCCGGCTGATATCAAAAAAGGTGTTCATCCTGAATGAAACATTAACCAGTAAACCTAACTTTTTTTGCACATTTCAACAGCATTAGGATTCTTCAAATCGACCGTAAATATTGCCGACTTATAAAAAATAGTAGAATTGGTTTTAGACTGGGGGTGTTGATCATTGCCTGGCCTGGAGTCCATTTTAGAATGAGGTAGTAGCGTTATTCTAGGTTCGGATTTATTACGAGATCGCCAGGTGCTGACTACTCCTCAATCTCGAGGTAAGGGCGGCTTTTCATCTCTATCAGGAAGAATTCGTTGTGGACAATGCTGGCAACAGAGACTGCACTATACAGCTGGGTTTAAACGACGCCGAGATTTGCGAGATCGCACTCAACCTCGGACCGACTTTCGCCCGCCACACTGAAGCCACCGTGGCACTGGCTGCCCGACCACCGCTCTCCTCGGTGGCACATGAACATATCACTCGCAAGCCCTCTGCTGCCAACGCACCTTTCAACAGATCAGCTCCGGCCTCCCCGGCTCTTGTGCCTGCGCACCTCCGACTACTTGCAGTGGTAGAGACGTTCAAATCTAACCGGTGCTTAGATTGTGAGTTTCTTGAGTTTTTTAGCCTTCTTTCTACCCTATTAGCTTAACTATTACAATGGGCTACTTGTGATAACATAAGTAGTATCTGAAAGACTGTTGCTTTCTGCTGAACTGACGGGCATATTAGTTGACTTCATTTTTATAGCCATATACTGGTGGCTTCTAGGCCAAATCGGCGTTCGGATTACGAGTGCATCGGTTTCCTCTGATCTCCATCCATTCCTTGTTTATTGCACTGGAGATAGTGGAAGGCTGTGCCTACGGCCCAACCGGTGGTTACTAGACAGCCCGCCTTCTCTCAGTACTCATCGGCATCGGTCACCATGATTGCATCCGACCAGGCTGAGATCGACCGCTATACATAAGCTTTGATTGGGGATTCATCTGTCCAGTTCCCTTCCAGAATTGTGTTTATTAATGCTTAGAGAAACTCCCTCTCATAAGAACATGTAGTGATATGCAGAAGTGAGATACCGGGAAAATGAGCTCCGATATCTTTCCTCCATGGATATTAGTCACGCACTGAATGTCTGACTTCTGCGCCGACTGGCCGATCCATTTGCACGTGGTCCTTCTTTGAAGCACTGGAAAAAGGCGTGGCATTCATTGCAAGAGGGGGGATCAGTATTAACTTTACAGGGACTTTATGACCTCGAGTCTCTTGGCCTTTATGAAGTGCCAGAAATCCACGAGCAACGTGCACGTGTTCCCTGTTGTTGCTAATGCTGCTTCGTTGCCATATGTGTTGAACGAGTCCTCTCACTCGCCCATCCCCCTTCCTTCCCTCCTTACTCTTCCGGCCTTTCTACACCTCCTGCCATATGGTGCTCTATTCACACGATAAATGCACTGTTTGCCCAATGTTCCTCGTGATAAGGCAGGCCTCCTGACCTGCGAATTTCATGATTTTTGGCCAGCCTCATTTCATTTTGGGAGGATATCTGGAACAGTGCTACTGTTTTTTCGTTTTATTTTACCAAAAGGGAAAATCAGAGTTTATTTTAGCCCAGCTTTAACCGACCACTTATAATTACGTAGGAAAGTCTTCTGGTGCCAAAGTATCGCAAATTCGGTGGCCGTTGACGAGCTCTTGGTCCACTTTACTATCTGAAGCATGGTAAAGTTTGTTTTTTTTTTTCCATTCTGCTTTTTTTTCAACAAAATGGGAATTGGGAGGGAGTGCATCCACTCTGGCCTAACCCCATTATAACGGCCCATTAATAATCACATTTCTTATTGCACTTTCGCTTTGAAGTGAAACATCAAAGTATGCTAGTTTTATAGCCCCTTTTTGCCAAATGATCCGTTGATCTTAAGTACCTCTACAATGATTTTAATGTCATTTACGGTCTTTTTCCAATAGAAAGGAAGGAATTTGAGCTGAGAAAAGGGAGCTTAAGGAGCACTTTCTAGTCCCACTGTAGCCGAGTAATAGTGGCTGTGTGTCTTCCTGCCGTGGAATTGTACTTTTGTACGTGCGTTAGGATCAGCTAAACCTATGGCTGGTGGACATTGCTGCTGTCTCTAGCTCCTGACTGAATCAATGCACGGGTGTGTTTTAAGTTTTGGAGGTGGACATTAATAATTGAATGGGTGAATTCCCCCTCTAATTATCTGCGATGTTACTACCCACTAGCAATCATGTGCTACCTTGTGTAGTCTTATTAAGCTAGAATAGACCATGGATTTGGGTCCGAAGTGACAAAGAAGTGGAATTTCCGATGATTCTGTAAAGCGCATCAATCTTGAGCGATATAGGCCTCTACCTGAGGCTATGTCGTGGAAGTCCGATTCCTAGCAAATTGTCAATGCTCTATCTGTTTTTCGACATTGTCTTCGGTGGTGCCAGAGATTTTTCTTCCTCGATGGTCATTGGTAGCAGTAGTGAATTTAATTGCGGTCACTTAGGAGTTTATTTCTCTTGTCAGTCACCTTTTGTTGAAGCTTTTGATTCATAGGATAACTCCTGAATGGCATGTGAGTTGTTGACGCAGTGAAACGAGATAAACATGTCAAGAACAGCAATTGTGGAACGCCCTCAGAAAATGGGTGCCTCACGTGCCGATGCAGCAATAGGTGACAGGCAATAAGCCTTAAGGACTATCAATTTTTTCCCACATCTTTCACCTTTTACTTGTGAGGGAAAATGACGGATAACGACAACAACAGTGGTTATCCTTGAACGATCCACCTACCACCTACTTCACGCCTCAAAGACATCATCTCCTTCCCAGGGGAGCTATGCTTTGCGTGTGTGAAGCCACGCCAAGAGAATATAAAAATCAGTTGGGGAAAGGTGAGAAAATGGGAATAGATGGCTTTGTGACGGTCTTTTCCCTCCTACCGCCCTCATCTCAAGGTGATAATTTCCACAGCGCCAAAGAATGAGGTCTTTTAAAATTGTACTTTCTTCCGTTCCTCGAGAGGATGTAGTTCATGCACACCCTGAAGTTGTATCGCACCGAATAGATGAAACTCGACCGTAATTATTGTTTGACCTTCGGCTAGTGAAATAGTCTTGTGGATGTGAGTTGGTGCGGAGTGGGGCAGTGATCCCCATTGATGCCTTTTTCTCTCAAAGAACCCTGGAGTCCAGAACAGTTTCCCGTCACAGGACACTCAGCCAGCAATTGGTCTTACAACGGAATCCATTGACTTCTGCAACTTTTCCTTTCCAGTTAATGTAGGTTTAAGCTAACTTTTTCCTCATTCACATTCATACTTCATAGTGCGTTGAAGTAGAGGATCTCTTCCATTGTGGCAAGCTACGCCAAAAAGCGAACCAACTTCTTTGCAGCGCCCATTTTGCGGACGATTGCCATAGTCTAATACAGCAGCAAAGGTGTGGCAACTCATTTGAGGCATTTTACTAGGTAATTGATGTGTAACCGAAGTATGGGAGAATCGACCGCCTTTTAAGCATCACAGCTACATTTGGGCAGTAAAACTGACTGTTCGGATATCGGTAGGTGGGGAGAGATACTCTATAAATCTTCCCCAAGTTTGCCCTCTTATCTTGCCGAGTAAATGAATTAAGCCTACCGCTAAAAACACATGAATCCATTATCTCCACCCTTTCGTGTGGTGGGGGTTTTCATGTGCCTCTAATTGGATATGCCTTACTTTTCGACTCCAAGGGTGATAAACGAATTCCCATATCTCAACTCGTCATTCATTTTGTAAAATTAATCGTTGCTTTGACGTTATGTCACTTAGCGGTCAATGGATTTTTGCTCGTACCGAACAGGTATGCACCCGTTCTCTGCCAGCGTCGCATATATGTGACGTGCAGCCTAATCGGTCTACAATGACTGGCTGCATGAATTTGTAACTGAAGTAGATTGCTTTACTCCAAAACAAAAAGAGCAAATCGTGAATTCCCTTGGTCTGAGGAGGATGAATAGATTTAGTTTTTTGGTTTTAATAAAGCATTTGGATTGTTCAGAAAATGAATGCCATTGAATTTTGGTGCTCGATTTTACTCTGTTAGTGATATTTTCAAATCGGAGTTTCATTCAGATCTTCTTTAGAAGTTCGGGAATCATGATCCCTAAGACAAAGATGTTTTTCATTAATAAACGGATCTATTCTTCTCCCAACCATACACGCCTACAATGTAAGTCCTATTCGTGAATGGTTCGGCTGCAGCGGCAAACCCCCTTGTGCTGAGAAAGTGCTGTATAAGTGTGGGTTGAATACTGGGACTGATGAAGCTAGATGCAGTTTGCTTTCCTTTTCGTAGACAGTCCTTTTTTAATAACAGCGTTTTTTCCAACTTCTAACATTAGTTGCTTAGTTGAACTCCTTAGTTCGTTCATTTAGTAAGTCGATGGATTGACTGCACAATTCAATCGCAAAAAGTGAACAACGTCACCATTTGTGACCTTGCATTTCAACGTTTAATTGAGTGAGGAGGACAAAAATGTTGTTTGGGGCATATGTCCCCCCCTCGACCTCTCCCTTCTTCCCACTTCCACGAGACTGCATGGGTGCATGCATAGCTAAATGAGTGAGAGTGCGTGGCTTTAAGCGCCATTAGTCAGAGCTGCGTCGTTTTTTGTGTGGCATCTACTGGATTGTTGTCAGGGATACAGATATAAGAGGGGTCAAAACATTGCTCTTCTTTGACTATCTCGTCCTTGACTTTTCACCTATTGCGCGAGAGCATCGTTGTCACTGTCTCGAGTTCGCATCGTCAGGCAATATGCCAGGCATCATTCATACCGATTGTCTTCCAGTCATTATCCAGACTTGTAGGCATCATTAGAACTTTAAAGGCAACTGGAGGGAACGTCTTGTTGCTTTGAATGACCTTGTATGAAATGAAGTAAATCTATCTATGGATCACAACCAGCGCCAGCTCGACAACCAAGAACAGTGGACATGTGTAGGCTCGCATGGTTCATGACGTCGACAGGGGTAAATGATGTCACGATCACTGTGTTGGTGACAACACCGTGGACGATGCCTTTTACCTATGGCTATGGCCAACACTGCATTTCCTGCAATTTTTGCAGTGAATATGAAGGTTTCCACTGATCACGTGCGAATAGATCGACCAGTTGCACTGGAGGCGAGGCATCTACTGCGAATGGCCAGGTCTACAGATCGGATCGTGTAGCAAATTGGTTGGCCAAACCATTAAGGCAGTCCAAGATCGGTTAAACCTGCGGAGTAGTTAGCAATGAGGCATGGCGGACAAATGGAACCGGAGCGAAACTACGAGGAACTCGACCATATCCGTATTTTTTATCCACTGAGTTACGTTTTTGGACGAATATGCCTACACATAATATTTGCGCGATAAAATGTGCCCACTGGATGGCCCCACCTAGTCTTAGGCACTACTTTCCGAACAAACTTATTCAAAGCAGTTCTCTGACAGCAGCAATGACTGATGAACTCCACTCGAATGTTTAGAAAAACGTGGGATCCTGCCTTTTGTATTAGGAACTCACCGCTTGGTCTCCCTTTCTCTCGCCGTTGGTCTCAACTCACTCGAACGCTGTTTTGACGCCTGGGCCCCAGAAGGAATAAACACAGAGGGAACGGTGTTTTAATACCTAGCCTGCTAGTCAAGCAGTCTTTCGGAGAGCTTCCTGATAACCTCTTAATGGTTTTTCTCGGACACTATGACTCGGTGTTTCAAGCTGTCCGCGTAATTGTGTGAGCCATTTACAGTATTGAGGGGCCCTCAGTTTAGAGATATCGGGAGCGGATAGATGAAGCACCAAGTCCGCAGGCTTAAGTCACACCTTTTCCGTTTCTTACAGCTATGAACGCTCTTCTGGGCTGTCCAATCCTTCTTCCCACTGTTTCGTTGAACGATCTTCCGCCTTCTATTATCATCATTATTATCAACTGTTGCATCGAGGCGGTGAACACCTTCGCCGAGGCAATCGTTTTCCCGTCCTCTAGACATTCACACCCTCGTCGTCTGCTAAGTCATCCTCTTGCCTCTACTCTGATCTGTCGTCTTATCCAAATCGCCAGTCTGCGGTGCTGCTTGCACGCAGTGCTACTTCGCAGAGTCAAGAACGCGGCTCTAACGGCGTCAGCGGCGGAGGTGCCGAGTCCAATCTACGAGGCCATTGACACCATGACCTTTGATCCTACTTTCGTGTATGTTGCAGCCGGTCATCCGATTAGCGCCAAGCGCTTCCCTATTTTTATGCCTTCTGGAGGAAAGAAATCGACCGTAAGTAAATGGTGAGTTCCCATATTTTACTAGTTTTTTAGGCGAAGAGAAAGCTGTATATTGCTTACCTTTTCTACTCTTGCAGCCGAAAAAGACCCTCTCGAGAAGCGAAAGGCCGACCACGGAAGCGCGTCTGCACAAAATCTCTTCTTGATGCGACTGAACACGATGAGAATGAGGACGGTGGTGCTGCTACTGTTTACGATGAAGACGAAGAAGAGGAGGAAAATGGTGAAGGTGCAAATCCCACCACGATGGGTTTGGAAGGTGGTGAGGTGTTGGAACAAACTGCGGCTGTGAATCGATTGGCCGGTGTGAATGGAAGTGGGAAGTCGAATGCTCTGTTAAGTGATGTAAGTCATCATCAATTTGTTTTAAATGGTATATGCTCCAATTCAACGACTAGATCGGGTGGATTTTCGATGTAATTCATTATTTAAGCTCAAGAGAAAGCATCCCCCTCCCACCCTGAGGCCTTGAGTCTTGCCAACTGGGAAAGGCATATCTCTAGGACCCTTTTTTCATTATCTTATCTTTACCACCGGGATTATTATTTAGTAAGGTCACGAGACGTGCCGCTCGGAAGGTTGCTTTTTAGTGGACCATGGCACAGATAGGGCAAACTGAATCGTGGAAGACTGGAAAAGCTGGTCAACTACTCGAGACTGTATTATAAGGCATAGATATGCGAAGTCTCATCGGCACTGCGCTTTTTCTCGTTCTCTCCTCCTACTTTGACTACCCACAGCATCAAATGTCGGTTGAAAGGCCTTGATGTGATCCTAATGGTGAATCACTCAAAGATGGAGACATCATGTTGGAGCCGGCTCTAATTCTGATCGTGAGGGAGGGAGAATTGCAGGTTACTACCGTTTGAAATAATTCAAGACGAGGGTGTCAAGATCGGCTTTCAATGATACCCCCAGTGAGGAAACGGTTAGTTATCCTCAATTGGTACATTCCTTAGCTACACTTCCGAGGCACGGACAGTTTCCTCCTCACAAGTCTATGTTGTGTTCCGGCAAATTCAACTATCCACAGCTGATATCCTTCTCCTAGCCTAATGATTATCCATCAATCTTAGCTTCAGGTATATCCTATCTTCGGTTTTTTCCTACCCACTCACGCCTTTGTGCCAGTTGAACTCGTCCACTGATGAGCTCACCCCGTGATGGACGAGCTGACTAACCGACCACATGTATCAACGGTCTGACTAACGAGTGTGCTGTGCAGTTCTCCTTTGATTCGGCCATTTATCGCGGATGCCCCACTTATAGTGTCACTAGTCGATCTATTTGTGCGTGATCTTTCTTCGCAGGATCAGTGGAAGCTCCCATCTTCTCTGCAAGAAGGGCGAGAAACGCCTGGTGTCGGACATAGCCGTAGGCAGGAGGAGTAGTCCACGGCGCTGTTACCAATTCGATGATCGTGCCATTACTGAGGACTTCATAAAGTATGCGAGCCTACACATGCCCACTAATCTTGGTTGTCGCACTGGTGTGGACCGAAACTCATAGATTTGTTTACTTTATTCCACACAAGGTCGTCCATATCGACAAAGTACGCAATGTAAGTGCCTGTGCGTGTGTTTGGTGATGGTGTAGATGCAGGTGTTTCGTTTGAACGGGTTCCACTGGACCTCACATCCTGCTTCGGCGAAGTTGCTACCTTTCGGTGGCGCTTCCTTTGCGGATGAGTGTCCCTTGTGAGCGGAGATAGGAAAGGAGAGTTGAAAAACTAAAAGAAGAAGAGGAAGAAGCAGAAAGAGGAGGGGAAGAAGAGGAAGCCAAAACTGAGGCACTTTTTACGAAAGGCTGAGCAGATGCAAGGCAGGTTGGAGGAAGAAGAGGTTTGGGAAATTGCCCTTTTTGTGGGAAATAGCATCACATTTTAATGGAGGAGAATGAAATTGGCCACGGGCCTGGAGGATTTTCCTATTCGATTTAAATGCAAGTGAAGATTGTTGAAGAGTTGTTTAAGTGTATGAATGTGACCCTCCAGCTCCATATTCACTAGGTATCCTTGATATGTGACCTTCAATGTCCCCTCCTCTCTTTCATCTTTTTCTTTTTATAAACGGCAGAAGAGAGTGCATTTGGCGGAGTCCCAATTGCACTCGGTTTTTCATACCATCTCATCTCATTGCATTTATGTTTCACCATTTCCAGAGTTTAACCTGTACCTACAAAGCGCAACTGAACCTGCCTACCACAGTTGCCCCACTTTGTTGTCGATGTCCTTCTGCCCAAGATATGCATGCATTTGCATGTTCGAGTAGTTGTATTGTATTCACTGTTCCCATGGAATAATTCGCCTGTATCTTGTCCATTTTCGTCTTTCGAAGCGCTGGGTTGGTTGTTTTTAAACCTGAAGTGCTCTGCAAACTGGCTAAACTCTTCTTGGTGGAAATGACTGTTGTGGGCTGCGCCCTAGGATTGCCCCCAGGGTACGGACGTTTCTACGCCCTCTTAGAGAAGTTGACAAATTTTTAAGTTGAATGCAAAACCTTTTTTTCTTTTCACCACAGCCCCTTCTGCCTTCTCTGACAGTTTGTTTTCGAGAGCTTGACCTCTCCACGATTCTCCTCGGTCTTCAAAGTCCACTTCAACAACCTGCCGATTTCTGCTGGACTGATGAGTCATCTCTCCCTGACTCACCTGTAGACGCAGCCGTGGATGTTATTTACGATGTTTCGGGAGTGAAACACTTCGGCAGAAAGAAGTCTCCAGATACACCGCTAAATTGGATCACTGTCTGCTACTTGTTGAATGAACTCAAGTTGAAAGTGGATCATGTATTTGGAGTGGAGTAGGTTTCTACGTTTCTTGCATTGAAAATTCGCGGTTTTATCTTTAGTTCTAGGGTTTCTGATATGGCGACTTTTGTGAATGGGGATGTAGGTAGATCTGATATGCGCAATTAGCTTTTCTGCACTTTTCCAATAGCTGTCTTTTTTCATAAATCACTTTCACGACCATTTTTCATCCCTCGTGCAGCACTCTTAGAGAAAGAGAGGTAGGAAGTTATCCCTGCCTTGCGCTGACAAGTATAGGACAGATTGAAGGCAGTTTCTTCGCCTTTGGTACAAGTTAAATGTGATTTTGGCAAGCATCTTCACCTCAAATGATGACAAATTTTATGACAAGAGGACGGAAGTAGCTATATGACAAGCTTAAAAATGGTGAATAATTGCTACCTCTCCTCTTTCCTTCCTCTTTCCATCTTAATCACTTTTTATGCAGCCACGAAAACCACTCCATGCTGGAAGGTTTCCCGGAATTGTGACATTTTAAACAATCTTTGATTTCGTCTCTCTGAGGCTTAATCAAATCTGAGCTGTCATTAGACATAGAGTTATCAACAGAAGTACCCATTTTCTAATAAAACCACAAGTCTTGGTGAAGTTATCCACTGCACTCTGACGCAAATCTTACTTGCGAGAGGGAGCTTGCATGGCTTTTATTTCAGTGATAAGGGTACTCAGACATTCACAATCCGGAAACGGGTTGTGAATGTCATTTTCTGAGATCAAAGGTCTATAGAGCTGTAGCACCTTTTATTTTTGTTTAAATAAACACCCATCAGATATCGTGGGTGCCACATTCAACCCACATGGCTTTTTATAGCACGAACGGGAGCATAGATCTCATACAATAAAGGAAATACCCAGAAGGGTTTTTTTCAAACCCTTCGTCAATTCAATGCGGGCCATCGCTTTTACCCACATTAGTTATCCTTCCTCGACTTATCCTTGACGCTGTCGTGCCCATGCTCCCTAGTCGGTTGCTTGGTTATCCGTTTGGCAAACACTGTGTCGTGCTTTATTGAAGCCTCTTCAGTACAATTTTGGTGTCATTTATGCACTTTTCACAACCATTACTCCCCTTAGCAGTTGATGTTGTCCTCCTTCTTTTGTCATTTTCCTTGGAAAGAACCCTATTGCTTTGAAGAGAGCTGTTGTGGATGGCTGTTTACGTGCGTGAGCTTGGATCCGGAAGAGACAAAGCTTCAACACCGGATACCTCCATAGCCAACCAGCACGAGTGAGCGGAGGATACGGCGTGCGTGTACACGGACGATTCCATTCTCGCGTATTCATAGGGTTTTAGTTGACCTTGACCTCATGAGGAGTGTTAGCACTCTTCAAATCTGTCTGTACGTGATATTGGCCAACCAAGGGAACTGAACGAGAGTGTGGGTTTCGAGACATTTTAAAATATTCGGGAAGTAACCACGAGAAAGGGCTCGTCTAGACAATCAAAATAGGATTGTTCTCTGAGGTTTTGTATAATGGAGTTCAGCAATAACCATTATTTTCGTCTCCCCTACATCCCGTTCAGTGAGACGACGACAAAACCTTTTTTTTTAAATTTGAGGAAGCATAAGCTAATGTTGAGCCCTTGTTACCTCAGCCAGGAATAATCCACCACCGCCAGCCATGCGGATTCCTTTCCATCAGACTGGATGGTGATCAGTAGCAGAATTGGCGGCTCGGTGCAACAGGAAGTCGTCACTATGATTGACCGCCTTACAGGAGGGCACTCGGGATACCAGAGATTCCCTGAGTTGCTTGCATTCAGGTACCTCTGGAAATAAAAATGACAAAATGGTGCAATGGGAATGGTGGCATTAACGTTCTGGGCCAGTGGATTTTCATCCGTACACGAAACCAACAGTGGCGGTCTTTTCGATGCCATCGCGATGTTCTTGTCACATTGGCTGATGTGAGTGGTCAAAGGTCTGGTGAATAAGAACAGAGGAAGCAGGTGCTCCTCTTAGGTGCCGTTCAGGTATCAGATTCGTGGCCACTTGCCCTGGGAGGGTTGAACATGATCAGCTGGCTTGTTAGCCAGAGGTAATCACGCAACACCCTTCGGCACGACCATCTTCCTTTTCCAAATATGTCTATCACCCCCTGCGATCCAGTAGTTTCGTAAATCACTTCTAGTCCTTCTTTGTACTTCTAATATCCTCAGCACTGCATTCTTCGGCTACTTTGAAGGTTTTAATTTTCCCTTCCCCCCCTCCACTAGGAGGTGACTCTATCAGATAGAACCTTGTAGTTTTCCCAGTTTGTTATGTTTACACTCCCGGTTCACACACATGCCCACGAGGTCCAGCATATGGCGTAGCATTTTTCCTTCCTCTTCAAGATAATTTACACAACCGTTTTCACTGCAGAGTAGTCACATGACCAAAAGCTCCTCCTCGTCCTTTTGATTGCCCTTCTTTCCGGTGGAACTACAAAGTCATGATAATGTGAAACCGCTTCTCTTATTAAATGTGGTCATTTGAAAAGCGAGATGGAGTCTGTGAAATGAATTACATTGGTTACGAAAAGGTTTTGTTTAAAGCTCCCCAAACCGTCCATTATACGGGAGGTGGAGGCACAGGCAGTACATCTCAGGCTGTTTTCGTATCCGTGCAGACGAAGATGAGCCCGCGCTCCAGGCCCACGTATATTCTATCCACGAGAATTAGCTCTTGATAAGACGCTGCTGTTTGGGAATAGTTTTTACAGCTATCTCCCCACCTTGGCAGGGCATCTTAATCTCCGAGCCAGACGGGAACAGTCACATGGCGCACTAGAATGTGGCTGATCCTTTCCAACCCTTCAGTGATTCAATTTTCTAAACGTGTTGAATGTCCTTTTACGCCTTCGCCTGCATGACTAAGCTCAACTTTGGATGTCTCTACTCCCATCCCCTTCTTCTGACGAGTTTCATTCTTTAAATCTTGCAGCTTAAAAATGGATAGGATATGGCACTCTAGGAGGATGCTAATGCCTTTTGTCCAAAAGAATGCAAAACTATCGTCTCATCGCAAAAAAAATCATCATTCACCCCCTTTTCAGTCTAAAATCATCAGCTGGTTGGTACGCCTTCGAACGCCTTGATGCGATGTCACCTCAGCTGCGTCATTCCTACCTTCTGGCAGTTGTTCCCCGCCTCGTTAGGATTGTGAACTCTCTGACTCGACATTTCAAAGGTAACTCCCTTCCCTCCTTTTCGATCGACCGATGTGAGTTGACCGACTTCTACCAGCAAAGGTGTGAGATGTGTACACACGCTAATTCCACGGAATGTTTACATGGATCCTTGCTAATGAGATGATAGTCATCACATTTGCTGACTGAGTGTATAATTAGACGCGGCTAGCGCGTTCTCCTCCTATCCCCCGTAGACTCAAAAGTCAGTTTTGTTCATTAAATCTGCATGAATTCTAATGGGCTAGCAAATTGCGTGATCTTATTGGCGAACGGAGGGGAGAAGAGTAGGAAGAATAAATCTAGTGGGAAAACAAGTTCCTCTCTTGTTTTTAAAAACAGTTAGGAGGTTCATTAGGATTACATCGGAGCAAAAAATAGGCGCAAAGGGACTTAACCTCTGGAAGTAGGGGGTTAAAACGAACATAATTTATTTATCCATGCGTGGACTGGGAGGCTACACTGGATGCTGTGGAATTTCTGTTGTTAACTATGCTCAGTTGCCCTTTTGTTCCGAACGGTATCCTCGGCACTTCCAGTGACCGAGGCCATTTGAGTTAGGCAAAGTTAACCGCCAGACGGAGACGATTATTCCCCATCATAACGGGAGGGCTTTGGAATCTGCCGGTCTCTTCTGTGACATTCCCAACCTCGCAATAGGATGGACAGTCACTTCGATGCACGTATATTCATCGACCCGAGGGGTAAAATCTCCGCCCTCTCCTGGAGGCCCGATAGGACCATTGTTTCTTGTGACAAGTAATGCTATGCGGCATATTTCGAATCTCGAAATAGTCGCCTCATGCTTGCTACCTTCACTGGCTCTTTCTCTCTTCACTGCAGCCAATCATTTTTACTGCTTCTCTTTACGTCTTCAATTACCTGAGTGCTCCCCATCCGCTGTGTCTGAATGTAACCGCTGTAAGCTTTAGCCTAGGCTTGGCATCAAGTAACTGATCAACAACTTTTTTTACAACAAACAGTTAATTCACGAAAGTAGAAACATCGAAAATTAATCTCAGTGGGTTGAAAACTACCCCAGTTTCAGTCTGTGCAGTATGGCAGCTAAATAAAGGAGATCCCGGCGGAATAGGTCCAAGGGTTTCGCTAACAAAAAATTGCATCTCAGAGGGAAATCCGTACAAAGCGGCGAATAATTCAGTTCAACGGCTAGATATAACTCCTGGGATTCTCATCAAATTTTCTGCTTACAGTAGGTGGCACTTGGAATGGACTTTTTTCCGTGCATTGTCCAATTTGCAGCATCCATCGAGATCCTTTGGATGCACTACCACTGCTGTACCCGGAAGTCTTCCTACCAAAATTGGGGGGCTTTCAACCCCCGTGGCTTGGTCATCTAGGCTACTTAACCGCTGACAACTTCTTCAGCGATTAGCAATTTAACATTTGTAAAGTCACTCGGTGTGTCAGTTGGTTAGTACACAACTTGTAGTTTGGACAGCGGCTTACATTTTGTCCTCTAGAATGCCGTGATGAGGATTGTGAGAACGATCCCTTCGGTCTGAGTCGCCTCAGTTTTACTCCCTCCACTCGCATCCTTGCTGATTGTCTCTCCACTTCGCTCTACTGTATCACCGCTCTCTCGACCGGTATCTTGCCCGTTGTGAGTGCTCTACGCTCCCCGGACACCCTACTTTCCAAAACCTCCCCTCCATCAGACGCCACCTGCCTGTCTCGTCTCAGGCGTTTGGCGCAGTGTTTGGACAATCTTGACGTCTCGGAGTCCTCCCTCTTCGATAGCTATCACCTTCCAACTGTCTCCATGCTGGAAGATGATGTCCTAGGTCTTGCAACTGATCCATCCAACCAACCAGAGGCTGAAAATGAAAGTAAGTGATACTTTGCTGATTTTACGAGTGAGGTTCATGTTGGACTGTAATTTTGGGGTTCATAAAAGAGCAATCCAGGGTCGTTGAGTTCCTCCTGATTGGTCAACATCACATGGAGCCGCACCTCGAGTGGGCTATCATTTACCTAGCGTAAAGGCCATAAAAATGCCATAAATACGCAAAAATGGTGACGTCTCGTGTACACCAGCAGTCCGGGTGCGAGCGTGCTCAGATTGTTGGGAGCAAAGACCTCTGTTTTGAAGTCTTCATTGCCTTGATTTTCCGCTTAAGATCACAACGGTGGGGCAGTTCATAGCACACAACATTGACCGAATATCCTCAGAGCCTCGGATTAGGAAGGTTTGCTGGTACGCCTGCACCAACCAACCATTTTGTCATATATGACGCTCGTTTTGATTTCGCAGTTGAACGATACCCGCAATTTTCATCCTACTTAATAATACGGTCCTAAGATCCCCTGTCGAAACCCTTATCAAGGTCACTGCGACATCTAGCACTTCGTCTCTGGTCAAAAGTGATGCCCAGCATGCATAGACCTCCCAAAATTCAGATGAAGTGTAGACCACCGCAGCATCACTTGTCTGTCGGCACGAATAACTCTGTGGTGGAAAGTACACAAATGACCATCCTGTGTTGTGTGTGTTTTGACCTGTTGCTCCCTCGCCTTTGGTCTTAAAAGCCCTTTTTACAGTGCCACTGCATGACTGACGCTATAAGTTCACTTTTCTGCTTGAGTAAGGACGTTTGAACTCCATGCCACCCAGATAATTTTATTTCTGTTACGACGGCAGGTGAAGCCATAAAACTAAAAGGCGTAGATTGTTTTACGAGGCCGCAGTTTCGTTAAATGGAAAGAATTTTTGACCTCCTTTTGAGGTGAATTGCTATGTTTTGGTTGGGCATTATGTTGAAGATAGTTGGGGTTAGCCGAGGGGAATTAGCTTTTGTTGAAACACTGCCTTGATGTTTAGTGGTTATCTTATATTGTTATTTGAAGACAAATTAGTGGGACGAATAGACTTTTTGACCTGAAGGGCAGATGATAACCCCATCACACGATGTGCTTGGTTATAATTAGTAAGCTTGTAACCCCGGTTGATGCCTCCTCCCTTGCGATATATGAGTGAACGAAGTGGGAAGGAGGATAGTGAATGACAAAGGCCTTTGGCTGCTAGTCATGGAGATTCCATTCCTAGTGTTCGAGTCTAGTCTTGGTCACAAACGCACTGGCAATGCGCGAGACAGGTTTGAGGTGGGGCCAAGGCGGTGTTGTCTAACTACTGCCTCGATTGTTGTCCATCGGCAGAGCGGAAACTGTGCTATTTTGCCTTTTGAAGTGGTCACTGAATTTTGTACTGTTCTCTACTTACTGGATTATGAAATCTTGCCATTGTGAACCATTGCACTCTTGAGGATACGCCAGCCAACTTCGAGGGATTTTGTCGAAACCCTAGTCTAGCGTTAGGCAGCAGTAGGAGGACTTAACTAACCCCTCATTCTTTCACAACGGCATCGAGGGTCACCAAATGAGTTACTTATTTTGAATGAATCACCATTGTTATCCACGTTGACCCCGATGGCTGTTGTGGCGTCTACAGCAAGCACCTGACACTTAACATCCTGACCTAAATCATGGCTCACGCAAAAGGCCACCAATTTTATTGTAACCTATCATACTTTATTTCCCTTGATTTGCATTCACTTCCTCTGTCCTTTTCATTTACTCAATTTCCGACCTCTCGGGTTTGTCGTGCGCATAGAAATCCACTGGCGCAGATCGCTAATACCACCATTCCCACCGCACCAGTTGGTTGTCTCTGTGCGCTCAGAGCTAATCCATCGCCCTAGGTACCTAAATGCGAGCAACAGATGGGATTTTGTATCCTGAGTGCCCTCCCTGCAAGACCGTTAGTCTTGGTGGCGACTTCCTGTCGTACTAATCCATCAATTCTGCCACTGATCAACATCTGCTGTAGTGGAAAGGAATCTGTGTGGCTGGTGAAGGTGAGTCGTTTCTCATTTTAAGATTAAAGGCTGGATGTGAGGCATTGCTTCGTTATTTCCGTTGGAAATTGTCCTATTCCATCGTTTTGTGGAAAACTGATTGTCGATCGTCCCACCATTTGATTGAATGAACTAATTTTGAAGCAAAATTGTTTGGTCAATGTTGTCTCAAGATAAATTAAGAATTAAACTGAACCACTTATGTACCTTTTTTCGTCAAAAACAACGCAGGTGAGAGAATAAGGCGTGAAAGTTGTTTGTGTCTGACTGTGTCATGTGACTACTTCTGTCTGATTGCCCTAGGGCTTAAGGTGGCCGCAAATCCAAAGGGAGGGCAACAACCCTCTGTCATATTTGTTGGAAGAAGGTATGTCGGGAATAGTAATTTGTTTTCCTATCACGTGAGCTCTCGTTGGAGTCGTCTATTTGTGAATTGGGAAGTTCAGGCTCTGCCGAGGCAGATGCGAGCACTCCGCCGGACTCTCCAGTTGCCTAGAGTCGAATTCGCAAGAAATAGGGATAGAAATCCCTTCGTGGGTGAAAATAAGGGCTTATAAGAAGGGTTCAATTACAACTGTGGATCTTGTCTTGTAAATTTCTCAAGTTCCTGCTGTTACTGGCTGAGTTATTTAGGATTTGGATGGGTTAAACCCGATCCGACAACAAACTATGTGATTGAGAAACAGAGTTGGGGGGTTTTAGCATACCTTTCAAAGACCTGGGCATTACTAATTGCTCCACAAACAGGGGACTGGGAACTGTTTTGCTTCATCTGCGCAACAAGCTGACACAGTTTGACACAAACGGTGTCTTTTTACCCTGAAACTTATATCGGGCAATCTCGTTGAGCGAGAATTGAATTGCCTGGCAACCGATCAGGGAATTAGTCGCGCGTGTGCCAAGTTTGCCATTTATCTTGAGTTATGTTTTGATGTGTGCTTTGCTAAGCCCTTTCATCTGCCCTCCAAACATGGTATATTCCAAGGGATTCAGCTCGGAAGGCGTAGAGCGTCGTATTTTGGAGGTAGCAGACCGTATTAAGCGGGTCTTTCAACTATTCTTGCGGCGCGGGACTTGACAGTTGTCTTTGATGTGTTTTGTTAGTCGTCATCGATGTTACATGGCCTTGACAATTCTGTCAACTCCTAATCATCATCATCATCATCATCATCCCCGTGTTTGATGCAGACAATCTGCCAGTACCTGGGGTAGGCGACGTCTAAGACCATCAATTCTGAGCCTTCTTGTTTGAGTCTGAATTGGAGGGTCAAAGACCTGACACCTTTCAAAGTATTGCGTTGATTTTAAAACCCTTTGGGAAGAGAGGAGTGAGGCGTGTCACAGTCTGCTGCTATTTTTGTTGGTATTAAATACACTAGACCCTTTTGATGCCGTCAGGAATCCAATTCTTCCTCTTGACTTCAAATTCGAAGTAACCATTTTACTGCTTGCCCCACGTCTCGCCTCAAGAACCGTTCTCAGGCGCTCCTTGCGGTAGCCACTGTGAGTCGTCATTCGAGCGAATTGAAGCAAACCTCGAGGTTAAAGACGAAAATTACATGATAATTACCCACCAGCCTTTTTGGGGAGTTCTCTCCAATGTCGGGATTTGGACTGCTCCATTATCCTTGATCTCTTCTGTGGCTGACTTAGCAGGGAGTATTTTTAGTGAGAATCAAATGTTTATTCACACATTTCCATGGCTGGTACACCATCGCGTCACCAGTTGCACTCCCGACTTCCACTTTCCCTCCTGATCTTTTGTTAGAACCCAGCGCCGCTGAAGTTCTTCGCATCATTCAATGGCTGATGGATTTCTCTCCTCAAGGTCTAGCTCACACTCCCTCTGCTTTCATCCACGCCTGTTTCGTTCTCTCCCTTGCGCGCCATCTGAACATCCACGTACCTGCAACTGAGTCTGCCATCAACGAGGTTAGTTATATCCCCTCCCTCCTCTACTCCTAACGCCTATCACCATTGGGACAAAGTTCCGCTTTTTATAGGGTAGTCAGTCTGAATTGGGAGAAAAAATTGTAAGGCAGTTCTTGATTCCCCTTTATCTGGTTGCTAATAGCGTCGTGAAACATATCACGCCATGTTTACAGCCATGTCTAGACAAAAAAACAGAGTGGATTGTTTATGGGTTGTGTGTATGTTATTAAAACTAGGCCATTGTGGCAACCGGGCTCACACTGACCAGCGGGCAGGCGGGGAGGGTTACATGCTGACTCTCTGTGAATTTACTGTCACCTATTTTGGCCTTAGCCAAACCGGAGGGAAGACGGTGTTACAGCCAGTCCTGTTTTTTAATTGGTGACAAGGTGTTTTCCCACTAGTTTTTCTACAGAAAGATGGATTTTAGCCTAAAACTGAGTGCGGATAATTAACAGCACTTGGTTTAGCTGTGATGAGACCTTTGCTTTTACGGGTTCTCATGACAAGGGAGGCCTCTTAACACCTGCAACGTCCAGTGCACATGTCCAGCCCCAAAACCCCATCATCATTAAGCTACTGGGTCATGTTGGTGGCTAGCTCGTACATGTGATAAGGGACTAAGCACCTTGGCAACAAAGGCGCAAAACCCTCATCTATCGTCAAAGGACTTTCGGCGATTTGGGGGTGGGAGGCTTCACTGTCAGCATTAAGACATGTAAAAGGTGTAAACCTTTCAAAGAGATGTTGGTTTAAACAATTTCCCTTCTGGTGATGAATGGCCTTCAGGAATTACGTGTTGCTATGGCGACCCTAATAATTGGAGACTAACTTGTAAAAAGCAATTGTCGGTTACTTTTAGCCTAAGTGATGAAGCAGTTTACTTACCTTCCTTCATTCATCCTCAAAAGACTATGCGTACAGACGGAATTGTTTACCTGCTAAAGGCCAAACAACAGGCATAGGCTTAGACCTACCCACTCTATAGGATACAATTTAAAGGCGCGTGGGAATATGTCCATCAAGAAACGGACAGGAATAGTGAGTTAGCGTGAAGAAAATGACTAGCACCCCATATCGCAGCCGAATCTATCAGTGACAGGATTTCATATCACATTTGAGGAGGGAAACGGAGGGAGAGGAGGAGGAAAGAAAATACTGCTGTATACTCCACCTCCAACTCTGTAATTCCATGATATTTCTCCTTGTGTCCATCATCATCATCCTTGGACATTGGACAATCGTCTGACCCTGCGCATACCAGACAGTTGGGAAGTAAATTTGCTGGAGGAGGGGAAATGCCAAGATTTAGCTTGTTTGTTTCTAGGGGGAAAGTGGCTCATACTGGAATTCGCAGCAGGTTTGTATTTGGTTGAAGAGGAGCGATGTTTTCTCATATTGGTTGTTATTTACTTTCTATTTTCAAAGCCACACGAACTTGTCCCTGTCCTAATATAAACACCACAAGAACCAGCTTTGGTCAGCTCCACTCTACAATGTGATGTATCGTTTCAGCGTAGCCTGCGAGTTACCCCTGAGGACGCGACTAAAAGCAGCTTTGTATAAACCCATATCATGTGTGCTGGTATGAACAGTCTCTGTGATAGCTTTATGCTGGAAAACAAAATTCAGCCTTGTAGCTCCCATTCTTGCTCTAACTGTCGTCCCTCGCGGCTCCTCTTCCGGCTGAGAGGCTGATTGAATTTATTCTATGGTGGTACAGTATATGAAGGGCAAACGCTATTGAAATAGTATATAAAGGAGGCATGGTCCAAACCTATGCTACCTTTTGCCAGTGATCGCTGTCGGTAGGAGTGGCCACTGAGAGCCTTGTCCTCACTTCGCCCCCCTGCCGCCTATTTTCATCTGTAAGCAGCTCCGTTTGTGAATGTTTTAAAATCTGTCGACCTCGATCTCCCTCCATGATGTCAGTAGTCGAATTAGTTTGAACAGCCCTTCTAGACTGCGTCTTCGTGGATTCAGCCATCTGTAAAAGACGTCTTTCTTCCATAGTAACCATTATTGTTAATCTGGATGGAAGTCTTCTTGAAACCACCAATGAAAGCTTTCACATACCTCGTTAAAAATGAACTGTATCGCACATATCCTGCTCGTTACTAGTCATGACGAGTGTCGAAGACCTGGACAGAGGTGCGTGCTGCTGCCGCAGAGGCCGCCTTGTAGAAGGCTGAAGAGACCGGTGCTAGAGTGTAATCGTTGACTATTTGGCCATTTACGATGGGTTAAATTAAGAAAACGGTCCCTTTTTTGACTCCCAGAAAGATCATTTCTCTTTTGAAGCCGTCATCTGCGAAAAAGTTCTCCTTATCCTTGCATAACTCCTCTTAACTTCTCTCCGTTATAGCATTCAAATCTGCTCGATTACACGCATTCCCTCATGAGCATGGCTTGGGAAACGACAGCTGGTTGGAAAGGTAACCCCACACAGCTCCCTTCACTCCAATCCTCATTTCTCCGCACTCACGCACACAACTGTTTCTCAGCACTCGCCTTTATACTGCAGCTTGCTCTCACAAGGACTGTCTGGGCACCCTCATCGCCTTGCACCTCTATTCGCCATTCTTTGGCCCTTCACCAAGTCCCCTGAATGAGTGCCTGGAGGTGCTTATCAATCTCATCAAATTCAACCTTCTGCCCCTTCTCCAGGGCCGGGGTCGTGACAACGGCGATATCACTCGACAAGGTCGCCTCTGCTACAGCGGTCTTACAACTCAGAGTTCTGGCCTGTATGGGAGGAAGGTGTTGGAGGCTTTTTGTTTGTACGTGGCACCTTAGTTTCGGTTGTCTCGCCTATTCTACCATTTCCGCTTTGCTGTCGAAGCTTTTTTGAAAAAGGAGCCAGTTTTTTTTCTCAAAGGACCTGCCCACCCATCAGTCTCTTATCCAAAGCCGTAGCTATCGTTACTAGCGCCTATCTGCAGAAGACTCCAATTATAGTGATATGGTGTTCAGCCGCTCAGCAGTAAGGCACCTAATTGACTGGTGACAAAATTTTGATGTCAGTGCCTACTACGTCCGCGGTGGTTTCCAGCTTACTATCGACAGCAGTTATACCTATGAAGAACTATTCAGTTTTGCGCATGCCCTGTGGTGAAATGATAGGGGAGTTGGACGAGTCTTCCCTGTGAGAACAGTGAAGGCAGACATTCACGAAAGGCCCGTTTATGCGACTACCAAGGCAACCCCCAGCTTTCACTCAGCACAGAAGAGTTGCACTTCATTAGAAAAAGCATATCAACCAGGCAGGCCAGGATTTTCTTCTCCGTATGACTACCTGTTGATGGATCAAAATGAGCGGTGGAAACCGAGACATTCACCATCGCTGAAGGCGAAGTGAAGTGGGCTGTTTTGGAGTGGTTCATGTTTACTGAGAAATCTTTTTGCTAATGGAAGCTTTGCAGACATTGGTCGAACACTGAAATTTTTGTCTCCAGTGAATAATTTACTGGCTGAAATTCCTGATTTATCGAGCCTGCGGAGGGGAAAAAAATGGGGGGTTTTCTTTTCGATGTGTGAAGTGCTTACTCCAAGGAGAAGTCTTGAACGGAACAGAAAATTGCTTAGCTACTTTGTTGGGGATTATTTAGATGAAGAACGAGGTTGAGAATTTGAAAAACTAGCCATATTTACTGGTGGGGTTGCTTTAGAAATTTATCTTCATGAGAGATTAGTGGCGATTTGGTTCAGACTCTCACTGATGAAATGCCGAGTCGACTGTGGTGATATTTCAATCCTATGCTAACACCAACCGCGTTCATTCATTTACCGAGATGCGGTCTTATTGCCGTAACCGTAGTATTTATCTAAGCCGCTGCATATTTTTTTACGATCTGTTACACTTTAACACCGATTCCCGGTAAAAATAACTGCGTCTGTAGGCTAAATTTAGTGTCGAGGGTGTCTCTGAAGTTCCTATAAAACCTCACGAGGTCAAAGTTGCCTGCCTATGTGCGTACCAGGCACGTGAGAAAAACACCATATCCTCAGCGTGGAGACCTGAATTGCATTATCCCGCCTTGTTTTGGGCAACGGCTTCAGAGAAAGTTCCCTGTGATTGCCTTTCTGGGTCAGGTCATTAGAATCAGCATTCGATGAATCGATATTAGGTACCAAAATGCTGTGTGACTTTAGTAGACCCTCCCTACCCAGTCTCCATGGATTCAGCTATCCATGGCAGATGTCTTTCCCCTATAGCAACCAACACATCCTTTCTGATAGCGTATACTCGAAGGTGTCGGATTTACGCCGCCACGTAGCCACTAATGTTACACCCACCCACGGAAGACCAGTAGCACAGTCGGAACGGACACAGCCTCAAACTAACTGCCATAAAGGCGCACCGATTCGTGCGAGGTTGTTCGGGCCCTGACCCAGTCACCTTTGTCATTGAGCTTTCTAAATGTGGAGTACGAGGAATACCAATTGAATGAGAATCACACAAAGCAAGCTGTTGTTGTTTCTTTTGATAATGGAAGAAGGTTCCATTCATTCCAGAATGTGCTTTTCGTGCCCATGCCGTAGCAGTCCTGTCAGCGCTTCCTCCCATCTTTTTTGTGAAGCAAAGTTGCATTTCCATAGAACTACTCAAGATGAATGAATAAATTCACGACAATGAATTGCGCGCCTCTCCTCGTTATGATGGCACCTGACTCACGTTGCGTGTCTTCACATGCCCAATCATTCTGTGGCTCATTTTGAGTACTCCCACCTTGGTGCATCCAACACGGCGGTTGTACTTTTTACCGGGAATGAAGTGTTGGGCCTATCTCACCAATTTGCCGCTTACACACTCTAGGACTTAACCTCAAAGACGTCATAAGGCATACAAGTCTGGAAGGTAGCTTAATTGTGTATTCAGAGAAGGGCTTGGGGACTTGCAGGATATTGCCTTTTAAATTGAAGCCTGGAAACTTTACCTCCTCATCTTGTAGCTGCGTTCGAAAACTGGCAAAGAAGACAATCGCAACTGCGGGTAGTCGAAGTGTGGACCTTTTGAACCAATGGAGTGCTTGTTTGGGAGTCCTCGTTTGTATCACCGAAGCGACCAAAAGCGACACTCCGAGTCGAGCCTTCTTCGACCTCCTGCCGTATCTAATGCGTGCTGGACGAATGTTTGTGGAGCATCTGCTTCGGGGGGCTATGCCCTTCCTGAATGCCATGTTCCGGTGAGTTGGTAATTGTCTCTTGTCTGAATGTTTCTCACTGATTGAGATTGCTATGGAATCGCGCTCTTCTTGAATTATCCTTTCAAGTCCGTTTAACCTCCCTCTTTCCATTATTTTTTTTTCTGAACTCATAATATTTCCCCATCTATTTGGTACTTTTCGCCAGCTTTCAGGATTCAATCTGGGTCTGTTATTCTCCTACCTTCTCCTTTTTAACGCCTTAGTTGGACCAGTCGGAGAGTTTGAGCTGTCTTCGAAGACGATTCAGTGAATTACCAATTTGGAATTGGACTTATGGAAGGACTGGAGGGTTCGTGCTCGTTGTGGAGGTTGAAAACTCTCCCATGATCATCCTTCCACTTCGGTCATCACAGTGGCATTCGAGTGAATCGACATGTGTCATAAGGCAGGGTCACTTGTCACTTCCCATTTCTAATTCACTCGCTAAGTTTTACCGCTCTGATTTGAGGGCTTCACAATGCTAAGAAGCTTCTGCCTTCTGCTTTTAAAGTTACTTTACTTTTTTCTTCAACTATTCCTCCTTCATAAGATGATCCTTATCACCTGATCCGTAGCTAACCCAGCGTCCACCCTGATAGAACCAATCACTTGGTTCGGTTTAACAAATAACGGCAGGACAGAGGATGTATTTTCTTCTAGGGGATCTGGCTAGACAACTTCATCCACTGCCCACTCAGTGCTCTACTCATGAATGAGGGTACCTTCGACGGGGACTACTCCCCTATATGGCGTTTTTCATCTGCTTTCTGAAAATTTAACTAGATTCAAGGCTGTTACTCACTAGCCTAAAATGCTCTTTTAGTTTGCCCCTTGACTTAGACGCTGGGTTTTGGGCCATTCACACTAAGAGATGTTTGTTTGTTTGACTTTTGTTCGAACTGTCATGGGTGCAAAGTCTAAGCACGTCTATCTTATTCAGCTTGACAGTTGGCTGGTTATAAGCACCACTTTTGGTCTTTAAGAACAACCTCCTGACAAATTATTTCTTTATTTTCCCCCTTCTTTTCGGAAAAATTATTTTAACGTTTTGATTGATTACTGGGCTTGCCTGTTGGGTGGCCTTTCCTTTTCCTTCCCCTTCTCTTCTCTTCCTCTCCCAGGTCTCTAAACTGCAAATATCTTTTGTTACTTGCTGAATTGGGGGTGTTGAGGTGGGCTATTGTTTTGTTCTTCCAACTTTATAAAAAATCATTTCATTTGTATGACAACAACAACGACAACAGCAGCAGGAGCGCCAATGACAACAATAAGGACTTGATGTCTATCGCAGCCGTGTGTCTCTAATGCAGGGGGATGGGGTAGTTTTTTTCTCTCCTCCGTGTTAGTTGGCTAGAGTGAAGTGAATCTCAGCACCGCTCTTTTTTGCTTTACAGTGGAAGAATGGCCACAATAATTCAAGGCTTAGGGTTATGCGAAGGCGGTGGAATTAAATTATTTAGAAGATTTCTAACTTGCTCCTCCTTTTCTGTTCTTGGTCAATTCTCATGAGGAGCATTAAAGGCGAATCGGATCTTTTGAGTTAGCTGAAAAAAAAAAGGAAAACAAGGGAGGACATCTTGAGGGCGAAATTTAAGCCTTTTTTTGTCGTAAGTTCCTGCCACCACATTTATATCTCACCGCTCCAGGAATACCTGGAAAGCAGTTTTGGCCTAGAAGGAGCTATCCTATTACAGTCCACTTCACCCTCTCCTCGCTTTCGGAGTGCGCTGACTTGTCAAAATGCTTAGTCTCCCCGTTCACGGACGTGGTTTTTAATTACTGCATCATGCTGTGCTGTGTTTAATCTTTTCCCTACTGAAAGATCCATCCGTCTCCTGTGCAACTTTGCCATGCGACAGGTCGGGTTAGTTGTGCATCTATCAGGCGTCCGAGGATGGGCGTAGGCAAGCGTTTCGCCCACTGGCTGAGTATTTCCTTACAAGACTGACAATGAAGGGGGATTATCCCAGACACACATACATTCGTCTTTTCAGAGTTTCATACCGCTCAATCAAATGTCTTACTTGTAAGTGATTGGATGCTCCGCCACCGTACCGTAGTGCGTTTGAAGTCCGTAAATGCAGTTTCTGCGCTTTCGTTCCATGCGCACATCCCGTGCCACTGTGACGTGTCATGCTAATTGCGGTAGTGTCTGGATTGAGCTGGTCCAAGTGTGCTTTGTCTATTAGGGGTGGTGACAAAGTTACTCCTTTTACTTACTTTTTTGGTTCCATATTCCATCAAAGAAGGTCTTGGACTGACCCGAAAAACTTTGTCAAACATGAGGGACAATCGACACAATCTTGGATTATAATTCCTGGTCACAGAGAATGACCTAAAAGCCTAATTGGACCACTCGAACAGCCTAAAACTGATGCTAATTTAATACACAAAAATTACAGGACGGTTTTCATCAGTATCCCAATTAAGGGTGAAGGGAATATCAAAATCGTGACGAGACATGGGTGTGGACATTTCCCATCAAAAGGTGACAGTGAATAAATCACTTTTTTGCCTAATTAATGTGTTTACGCGATGCTAGTGACTCGCTTCCGCTCAATTGTTAGGGAAATTTGAATATGTTGGAATATCCACAACAATTTGGTACAATGTTTTTTTTTCTTTGGGATGCTCGACGTATATTCCACTTTAGTGAAGGGGTAGACCTATCCCACTTGATATGAAAAGTTATCCACTTAGTGTTGCTACCTAACACTCCACTCGGGGTGGGGGGAGCGTTTAGCAGATCAGTCACATTTGGTAGGGATATTTGTCAGAGGATCTCACATGAATGTACGGAGCGGTTGATAGGCTGTTAGCAGAGATGACATTGGATGGATGATCATAGCTCTGGGATGGAAACCAGAAGGCCACGGTGACTCAAGAGATTGTACAACTGAATGGGAAAACTGTTCCAGTTTCTGAGAGTATCCAGAGGCATCAGTCCTTTTAGGCACTGTTACCCAAGATGGTGGGGAATGGCAGTACAGCAGGCGCTGACGGAACACTGGGAAGCTTCAAGAACAGCACAGTAAAGCAGTGGGATGGTTGCCTACTTAGTAGTAAGACATTTGATTAAATGGTATGAGTGTTTCAAAGACGAAGGTATTTGCGGAAGACAATCCTGTCTGAGTTGATATCAGGGCCATTACACACAGCAGTCATTCCTGTGAAGAAATTTTCAGCCAGTGGGCAAAAAGCCGAGAAATGCAAAACTAGCCTCCATTTCTGCAGGAAACCGACGAAGCTTTCTCTATGAGGGTTAAACCCGACACAGCACAATCATTCAAGAACCCGAAAATGAACGGGCAGATGGAGAATTGTGGAAATTCGGCACACTTTGGATACACTCACACTAACGGAGAAGTGACGAAGTGAAGCGGACCGTTCTAAGGCGATTAAGTTGTGGTGGAAGTTTGACTTGCACTCTCCTCCCATCAGGGCCTGAAGTCCATGTGACATGGAGCTACTGAATTTGCAGTCGCTGCCATGTGACCCATTTGCTCATTCATCTCCTTACTTTTTTTGTTCGTCTCCAGAAGTCATGGTTCAGAAGTGTTGAAATTCCTTCGAAGTGTTCAACAGGTGACTCGCTTCCTTCAACGTATCTGCGTTCATGCCAAGACTAGACGAGAGGCCCGCCTCACTCCACTGATTCCACAGACACGCAAGTGTCTGGAGGCCTTTGTCTACAGTGTCAAGGTAACTGTTGCCCAACGAAGAAGCAATGCTCCATGTTCTATCATCTCTGAGTGATATTGACATCTCTTGAAGTCCATGACCAGGTATTCAGAAGAGATGCAAAGATTAGTCATGGAATTGATTGTAAACGGTAAAACGTGATAGGAATAGTGGACTTAGTCAAGATTTGTTGCTTGTACATATTTATGCGTCTCATAGGTATGATTTTTTTATTTTCACAAGACCTTTTTGCAGTGTCAAAGTAGCCACCTTCTCCAGTCTTGCTTACAGAAACTGTGGACTTAGCAAATTCTAAGCGCTGGATGATCACATAGGTATCAGGTATACACTTGTTGAATGCGCTCTGGGAAGGGTATAACCACTATGTTGGATGCACAAATGAAGGACCACATTCATCTGAATCGAGTCGACTGGTAACAACAGCAACCACTGAAATGTTTTCTCTTCTACAGTTCATTGCGCAGGTCGAGACACGAATGTTGTGAGTCAAATGTCATCACATAGCGGAGAGGCGCGCACTTCTTCGACTTGAACTCATTTCTACATTTTGAGTGTTTCCATGGGAATGCAGCTTTGTTATGGTACTAACATCAGTTTCACAATAAGGCTAACAGGTCACGTTAAGATAAGCACAAAAATACACCCCGGGGCAAATGGAACTTTATTTAGCTGTTAAATGAAACAATAACAGCCTTCTTTTATGTGTTTCTTATTCAACCGGTGTTGCTGGTACCCTACTCTAGAAATCTCAGCGACGGATCTTGCACGTATCGGTAGGCCTTCATGGCACTTAGTTTGCGGCTGTGTCCATTCTGACTGTGGCACTGGTTTCCATGAGTTAATAATGAAGCCACATGTAGGCCTACATTGGTGATGATGTGGCGGCGAGGGAAGGGTGCTTTTTGTGTATGCCCCGTTGCGTGAAGACTCGACACAGAAGGGCTGCTAAAGCCACAAACACCTCTAATCCTAAATCATCCATCATGATCGGTGACGAGTCTCGTACAGTCACCACCATCACTTCTATCGAGATGCACCCACGCGGATTGATAGTACTGCTAGTTACAATGCGCGTACAAATGGGCGGCAGCCACTCGGGACCCCCGAGACGATCAAACGATCACATATGACTGAAGGATCAGGGGAAGCTGAGCAGACTGGTTTTGATTCATTCCTTATCAATGACTGGCTCTACATTTGGTGGTATCAGTTGGATTACCTATGATCCAGAGCCGGAGGTCCAGCTCTCTGTAAACGTGATGTTGTAGGAGATTGTTCATACTACAGAGACGGAGAGAAAGTAATGCCACTAAGGTAACATATCCAGTCGCTGCAGTTTGCTACCACGATACGGAATCGCTCTTAACTTAGCAGAAGGTGGCTCTCGGGTGGGGATTTATCGACTTTTGAGTTGTTGAGATGTCTGATAGACGACAGGGAGCGGCGCACTGAGGACTATGCTCCCTCAAAATAGCAGAGGGACCATGTGATAAGAGGGTATTTTTTCCCCACTTTTATACGACGTCAGAGGATTTTATCGGTCGCCCTTTATTAGCCTTTTGAGATCAGCCTAGAGCAAACTCCTCATGTCACACCTAGGCCACCACTCTATTCCTGGTTTAATCGAGCTCGCCTGACCTCCACAGTCCTCCAGTTTTTTAACAGTCTAAGTGCCTTAATAAGATCCACATTTAACTGTCTCGTCAAACATTCAAATTGGTGAATTTTTCTCCCCGCCTCTTTTAGCTCTTACTAGCTCAAAACCACTGTGCTGATGCCTTCTGGCTAGGAAATCTGAAAAATCGCGACCTCGCAGGTCAGGAGATTCACGATACAGACGTGTCAACGAGACATTCCAGTGGAACTACCCTCTCTACTGCATCGCCGCATTCGTCTCGTGGAGGTAATTCCAAAGACAGCTCCTACACTGTAGAAGGCGCCGAGGATTTGATTTCAGAAGACGAATCCGAAGTGGAGGAAGAGGAATTGCCCATCGAGGATAGCGAGGAGGAGGACAAGGACGAAAATTAAACAGTTTTTTGGTGCAGCGATGTCGCCCGGTCGATTTGTGGTTTTCCTATTTTTGCCTCCGAGAATTAAATGACCCTGGTGGGCAACGTCTTGCGCATTCCACCCAAATTTTCATCAAACCAACTCTATTGAAAGGTGACTCCGAAAATTTTATAAATTTTATGGATTTTTGAAATACAAGAATTCAAATTAAAGCGCGGCCTTTTGTACCCGGCTCTGGTGATGTTTTTTGTTCTCCTTTTTTTATCTTAGTGTAGCGATACTGGCGTTGTTGTTGTGGTTGTAGTTTTTTTTTCTATTGAAAATGCGCCTTCCCGGCATAAAACCGGAAATGTTGCCTGTCACTTGTGTCCTATCGTTACAACTTTTGTTGAGTTTTACAGTGGAACGTTTGGGGGCGAATTCGACCGCTTTGTTATCCACTTTGACATGACCACTGATCGGGGATGAAAACTGCATTTTTGTATTTCAAATCTTCCTTTTTCAAACCGAACAAGCACATCATGAGTTGCCTCCAACCGATCCACTACTGCATTCCCACAAGGCTGTTCCCCTCTCTAATATGTGTGGTGGATGGGGTTTTATGACATTGGCCAACTACCGGCTGATCCATTCAACTCCAACTTCACAATTTTAAGACAGGCAGAGAAAAGTGTTCATTGATTGAGATTTATCTCCTCGATGGAGCTTGAGGTCGTGGAGGAAAACCTTCTAGAGAGACAGTGTGAGAAAATTTGTGTGAAAAGTCCTATTCCCACAGTACAATGCAAATTTCACACATACTGCACCTCGGAATGGGGGAGGGGAATCACTGTTCCGTCCTCCTAATAGACATCAGGGGGATTAGTATCACCCTCTGAAGATCAGACAATCACCTAGTCACATGCAGTGACCCCACCAGAACCTCAGCAGAAGGTGCTGCTCATCCAATTGTTCACGAGTCCAATCCTCGTTATTCCACGCAATTCCCAAAACTTCACTCCTCCATCAAGGTCAGGTTCGTTAACAACTGAGGTCGCTTTCGCCGATTCGCCATGGTTTGCATGTGTTGCGCCCACTTTAGTCGTCCACCCATGCAATATCCATGTGCTTCTGCACAAAGAAACTGCAAAATGAACAGAGCAAAGCCCACTCAAGGCAATGCTTTGGCTTGCTTCCCAAAGAAGGCGACGTGCGATCTATCGACAAATGGAGAGGAGGCACTACGAACTGCAGATTCTCATGCCATATTTAGCCCCACAATTAAGCAGTTGAGATGGCTCATTGCGACAAAGTAGCTTAACCTTAGGAAAAGAGCTTTTTAAAAAGAATTTCAAGCCTAAATGCTTAGAAGAGTTCGTCTGAATATCACATAAAGGGATTGTTTGAACGCCTTCCACTTGCCCCTGTCAACAAAAGCCACCCGTCTGACGAGCTCTTCCCAACACAAAAAAACGTTACTGCGATTTCACCCACACCCACCTTCACCTCCAATTAGCTTCTTCTCAAAAAATCCCAACTACTCCTTATTCGAAATCTCGGACACACATTTGCTTGAGGTGACCTTGATCAGGCATTGATTTTAGAGGGGGCAAGTTCATCAATCAACCCCTCCTATTGTCTGGCTACTTCTCCACCCAGCCAGGTACGTCTACTCTTTGGGGAGAGAAAACAAGAAGTAGGAGGATGTCAAATTGTTGGCTTGTTTAAAAACTTCATGGAATCTCTCCTCGACCAGTACAGAGCCATTCACTTCGCATGCAACAGTTACAATCAGTGGCCAGGTCGCAGTGATCATGAGTGATTCGACAGATAAGCTCAATTCCTTAGTGGCTCCATGTCAAGAAAGTTGTGCCCGTCTACTCAAAATCCTCAAATTTGGTGTGAGTGGAAAATGAGGTGAGGGGATCAAAAAGTTCAGGTAAGTTGACGCAAGTGGTAAATCATGTTGTAGAAAACCACCACTATTCGTACTAATCCTGAGGAGCAAGGAACCACCACGTTTCGGTTGCAGACAAGGTGATTCGAGATTGGCGCTTCAATAACAACGTTAATTCATGACGGAGGCGAAGCTAAAGCAGTGGATCCCACCCACTTGGCCTAACGAGTAAAAGGTTTCGATGAGTACCATTGTTTGATGACTGGTCTGCAATTCCAACGATGCTATTCCCACACTTCAAGCCACGACAAAATCAACTCGTTGTGGGAAGACCTCCTTACCACTTGGAAGGTAAAAGCCATTTGACGTAACAGTGGGTCAGCTGATCCAGCGAACAGTGATACATTTTCACAAAGCAAAGTGAGGAAGGAATTAGTGGTTTTTTAGTGCTTCCTGTAGACCTGCCTGTGGTTTGCACCCAGTAACCTCCATGAGATACGAAATTGAGTATAAAAAAAGAGCAAATAAATTCAAGCAATTATATTTTGAAAGTATTAGTAAAAGCGAGTTACGATGACTCAAAAGCTTCAAATTTCCCTCGTAAACAGGGAGGCGCAGTGACGATTACTCGACAGACTTTGATTTCTGACTTCTATTGCGGTCTGCGGTGAGTATTACAGCCTGTGTCAGTGAAATGCCCATTGACGTGGCAGCAAGATAGGGTAACCATTGCCCAGTGTAGTAGTGGTAGTAGACGACACTGGATGTGGTTAAAGCTGTACACACGAAGGCACAAAGTAAGGCAACTTTGTCAGACCAGGTGATGGGTATGAATAGGCCCATTAGAGTCAGAATAGCACTTGCAGCTACAAAGATGCAGGAAGCTAAGAGAAGTGGACCCAGAATTTGAAAATGCTTGAAACGTTTACAATAATCTTCCAATATTCTTCCTCCGCAACCCCAGCCTTCGTAGGTTATTGCAAAGAACAGGAGGATGGTGACGGCACCTGCAAGAAGGATGTTAAAGATTCTCTCGCGTAGCCTCATCTCGTGGATGTGTATGCGTGTCTCTGCGTATGTGCGATAGAGTGAAAGCGAGAAGAATGAAGACAGACGGTGTTGGATGAGTCTTGGTCTAATGCAAGTTAACTGATCCACTTAGTTGTGAAATGTGCCAGTGCCTCCTCCAATTGGCGGAGTCGGAGTGAGGCCACCGCCTCACACACATGTAGTTGACCTCACTCTCACAGAGGGGAAAGTTCAGTCATGCCACTCTCTTTTGCACTGTAGATGCATATATGGGTGTTGAAGTGTGACGGTCTATTAGGGCCAAATTTTGCGGTCACTGGCGCTCACTCTATGGAGAAACTGCCATCCATAGCCATTCACAAATCGATGAATTCAGAATGAAGAGGGACTCGGCCAGATGTCTCCATGGGTGCAAGTTGTAGGTGGACAGAAGTCGCTGTAAACTATTAATCTCTTCTTCACTTTGCTTTGTGAAAATGTATCACTGTTCGCTGGATCAGCTGACCCACTGTTACGTCAT